CCCTTCCTTCTCCTTTCTCAGAAGAAAGGCAGTTAAAAATACACCCCTCAAAAACCTGCAAATCTGAGGTGCCACAGATTGTAAGGCACACCCTGCTTTTGGAGCCCCTAAAAGGGGGAAAGTATGACTTAGAACAGGGTTCTTAAACTGTTTAAACAGAGGGCCAGGTCACAGTCCCTCAAACTGTTGGAGGGCCGGATTATAATCTGAAAAAATCATGAATGAATTCCTATGCACACTGTACATATCTTATTTGTATTGCAAAAAACACCTTAAAACAATACAATAATTAAAATAAAGAACCATTTTAACAAATATAAACTTATTAGTATTTCAGTGGGAAGTATGGGCTGGCTTTTGACTGATGAGATAGGATTGTTGCTGTTGTTGTGTGCTTTCAAGTCGTGTCAGACTTAGGTTGACTCTGAGCGAGGGCCGGGTAAATGACTTTGGAGGGCAGTATCCAGCCCCCGGGCCTTCGTTTGAGGACCCCTGCCTTAGAATCAGTGGCATATAGTATATATACATGTTGATATCCATAAACTTTGTTCTTCTTATTGCTGTTCATTGATGTTTTATTATGATTTCTAAGGCCCCTTCCACCTTCCACACTGCTGTATAAAATCTCAAATTATCTGTTTAGAACTGGGTTATACGGCAGTGTGTGGACTCATACCTGCCTTGATATTTTGTTTGATTTATATGCCCAACCAATGCTTTTTAATTTGTTTTAAACTATATGAATAATTGTCTTAATGTTTAGTTGATGGCATTGAATGTTTGCCAGTTTTATTTTTTGTCTTTGCAAGCTGCTCTGAGTCCCTTCAGGGAGAGAGAGCGGGTTAAAAATAAACTGTTGTTGTTGTTGTTGTTGTTATTGTTATATTCTGGGTTTTATGGCTGTGTGGAAGAGTCCTAAGAAGGTTAAAAAGAAACTTAAGGGCAAAGGCCTGGTTAGGAAGTTCATGGCCAAGTGGCCTCTTCTGCCTGAATCCTACTGACAAGGAAACTTGTGATGAAGTCAAGGTGGACACACTGCAGCACTTTCAAGCAACAACGTGTTAATATCTCTGTGGTTAAATAGTTGTTTAAAGATTTGTGTGTGTGTATTTCTTTGTTAGAATCCAGTATGGAGACAGGTGTCACTTCAACCTCTGATGTGACTGAGGAGGCATTCACTTCAACCTCTGATGAGACTGAGGAGACATTCACTTCAACCTCTTTATTTATTTATTTATTTATTTATTTGCTGCGGAATTCTCAGCCTAGGGGCGACTCATTGCGGTGTACAACATGGAAAAACAAGTACAAATTACAACACATAGTGCAAAATAATCCACAATTCATCATTATCAGAGAAACATCTTATCAAAACATCAACATTACTATAAAAGCCATTCCAAGTTCGTCTCATCGTCAAACCCACAATCCGATATCATTTCCATTGTTCCATTCCTATGGTCAAATTACCAGTCATTGCACTTCTTGATCAAATGCCTTCTTAAACAGCCAGGTCTTTAACTTTCTGCGGAATATCAACAGGGAGGGGGCTAGCCTGATGTCAACGAGAAGGGTGTTTCACAGCCGAGGAGCCACCACCGAGAAGGCCCTATCTCTCGTCCCCGCCAGCCGTGCCTGTGACGCAGGCGGGATCGAGAGCAGGGCTCCCCGGAAGATCTCAAAGTCCTCGTGGGCTCATAGGCCGAGAGGCGGTCAGTTAGGTATCTTGGGCCGGAACCGTTTAGGGCTTTATAGGCCAATGCCAGCACCTTGAATTGAGCCCAGTAGCAGATCGGCAGCCAGTGGAGCTGGTACAGCAGGGGAGTTGTATGCTCCCTGCGTCCCGCTCCTGTTAGTATCATGGCTGCCGCACGTTGGACCAGTTGGAGCTTCCGGGCCGTCTTCAAAGGCAACCCCACATAGAGAGCGTTGCAGTAGTCTAAACGGGATGTAACCAGAGCATGGACTACCGTGGCCAAGTCAGACTTCCCAAGGTACGGGCGCAGCTGGCGCACGAGCCTAAGCTGTGCAAATGCTCCCCTGGTCACCGCCGAGACCTGGGGCTCCAGGCTCAGCGATGAATCCAGGATCACACCCAAGCTGCGAACCTGCGCCTTCAAGGGGAGTGCGACCCCATCCAGCACAGGCTGTAACCCTATACCCTGTTTGGCCTTGCGACTGACCAGGAGTACCTCTGTCTTGTCTGGATTCAATTTCAATTTGTTCGCGCTCATCCAGACCGTTACAGCGGCCAGGCACCGGTTCAGGACCTCGACAGCCTCCTTAGTAGCAGGTGGAAAGGAGTGACAGAGTTGGACATCATCTGCGTACAGATGACACCGTACCCCGAAACTCCGGATGATCTCACCCAGCGGCTTCATGTAGATATTAAACAGCATGGGGGACAGTATTGAGCCCTGAGGAACCCCACACGACAAGGGTTGTGGGGTTGAACAGGTGTCTCCCAATAACACCTTCTGGGACCGACCCTCCAGGAATGACCGGAGCCACTGTAAAACAGTGCCCCCGAGACCCATCCCTGCAAGGCGTCCCAGAAGGATACCGTGGTCGACGGTATCGAAGGCCGCTGAGAGGTCCAGCAGCACCAACAGGGACACACTCCCCGTCGAGCTCCCGGCGCAGATCATCCACTAAGGCGACCAAGACTGTCTCGGTTCCATGTCCCGGTCTGAAACCAGACTGTGCCGGATCCAGAAAATCCGTGTCTCCCAAGAATACCTGGAGTTGTGAGGCCACCACGCGTTCCAGGACTTTGCCCAAAAAGGGAAGATTGGAAACTGGCCGAAAGTTGTCAAATTTAGTGGGGTCCAGTGATGGTTTTTTCAACAGCGGTTTTATTATAGCTTGTTTTAAGCTCGCTGGAATTCTGCCTTCCCGAAGGGAGGCGTTAACCACCACCTCAACCCACTCAGCCAATCCCCCTCTGGCCTCCTTTAGAAGCCAGGATGGGCAGGGGTCTAGGATGGACGTGGTAGGCCTCATTCCTCCAAGTATCTTGTCCACATCCTCGGGTTTCACCAATTGAAATGAATCCATCAAAATAGGACAAGCAGGTGCTCGTGTTACATCCTCAGAGACTGCCCTTAATATGGAGTCCAGACCAGAACGGATCAAAGCGACTTTGTCTGCAAAGAACCGAGCAAAAGCTTCGCAGTGAGCTGCCGAGTTGTCAGGGTTCCCGCCTAGAGTGGCGGGGTTTAAAAGGCCTCTGACAATCCGGAACAACTCAGTCGGACGGTTCTTTGCAGACGCAATAGTGGCCGCAAAGAAGGTTTTCTTTGCGGCTTTTATTGCCGCGGCATATGCCCTTAAAAAGGACACAAACCGTGTTTGATTTGGCTTGCTCGGATCCGATCGCCACACACTCTCTAGTTCCCTCTTCCTTCGCTTCATCGCTGCCAGCTCCTCAGTGAACCAAGGAGCTGGTTTAGCTCGGCTACTTGAGAGGGGACGTTCCGGAGCGATCTTGTCAATTGCCCTAGTCATCTCCCCATTCCAGTGAGCGATGGACTGAGGAGACATTCACTTCATATCCACCTGGCTTTCCATCTTCTCCACCAGGTCAGGTGCAACCACACTCATCTAATATTTGTAGCATGCAATGGCCATTGGCCTGGTTTATTCCATAAAGGAATGTTTTACCTGTGTCATCTGCAAATAGTACTGCGCAGCAATATATATGCTGTGGACCTAATACTTATTTTGATTTCCTTGCTCTGTGGCAGGTGCAGGTTTCCTTGTCAGATTTAGGCCTAAAACCATCTCTCAAAAATAGTCTCATTTTAAACAACAGGAAAACTTAATTTCACTCAGAATGTGACCTTGCAGCCTCATCACACTGGAGCTGAATCCACTTTAAATCAGGTTTCTGCCTCCTGCAGAAATCTGGGTTTTGTAGTTCAGTGAGGCTCAGAACTTGTCTGGCTGAGCAGTTTAAAGGGCCTTCCCAAACAGGGCAGACATGTTGATGATGAAGCACCCTAGGACGCTTCCACGGCAGTTGGGGGCAGAGCCTCTACCAGAAGTTCAGAAACCTAATGTTGGGTTGTGTGCCCATCCATCCCTCAACTGGAGCAGAAGCATCCTAGGATGCTAAAAATTCCTTGTGTGATGAGGTCCTTATCCCTCAGGGTTAATCCACAAATGACTCAATCTCTGTTGAGCTCTGCTTGGTGCATTATATATCCTTTGATGTATATCCATTGTGTGTTATATATCCTTTTAGGAAGTATGATGTTGAGGCAGAGCTTTCAAAATGCAATATTAATCCTGCATTTTGAACTATTGGGCTTTGAGTTTGAGGGAGCATTCTGTATGGACCAGGCTTTACCTATAGGCTGTTCAGTTCCATGCACTGCTTTTGAGAAATTCAGCATCTTTTTGTAATGGGTTCTCAAATTCAAAACTGAAAGCCATAGTTATTATATGGATGATTTGCTTTTTATTGAGCAATTTGGGTCTAGGCACTGTGCACACCTTCTATAATTTGCTCTTCTCGTGGACCAAATAGGTGTCCTGTTGACTCATTAGAAGACTGAAGGCCTTTTTCATAAATTGTTGTTTGGGGGGCATAGAAATTGATACTATACAGCAATTCTCAATGCTTCTTCCACAGAAAGTTGCTGACGTGTCAAACACATTGATGTTTTAGCACATGAAAAGCCATGCTAAAAGAGTTTCAGGAATAAATTTTGCTTCGAGAATTTTTGCTCCTGTTCACACTTTCCTCTATTATCTAGGATATGTTTGACATCAATGAATTTGTATCACAAAGTATCGCATCCCATTTATTGTGTCCAATCTTGTTATTTCTTGGGCTGGTCAAGATGCCATCACTGGCCTCAGTCCAATTAAAACTTCTTTTAACTTTGAATCAAGCATACCCATTGAGAATAATCCATCCATGCAGCAAAGTCAGAAATCCCACATGCTGACATGTCAATGTTCATGTACATTATGCATATCTTTCTTTACAGGAATTTCCCATCACCCACCAAGAAACAGAAACTTGGCGAATTACAATGAAAAAATGTGTTTAAATCCAACAGAAGCAGTAAGTGCGTTGTTCTGTGTGTAAAATGAGCATATATTTTGGACCGATTGAACCATCATGTTGAATTTTAGATTAAAGTGTTCACAGAGTAACGCATAGAAAATAGCTGATATTATACATGTTACAAATGGGTAATTTAGAAATAATGTTACTGTCTGAGAACTTTATCACACCAGGCTCCTCTCCCAGGAAAATCACATTCTTTACACAAGCACTGTGCAATCAGGACTGCTCTCTTCCTCGTTGAAATCTTACATAGAGTCTTTGTTTGTTCTATACTTATAACATGTAGTATTAGGCACTGTAAACTCAGTACCACCCCATTTGGCACACATAGACATATATCCCCTCCCCCAACAGAATATTAATTAAAAATAGTGTTTTCCCCTAGAGGGAAGAAATTCATGATAAATTAATCACTGCCAGATCAATGAGATTAATCTTCCAACTATTAATCTATTCTGCTCAGTCAATTGTAAACAAAGGCAGAGGCAACTCAACCCGGTACACAAATTACACTTTTGCATATAGGGCGCTTCTCGGGGGCGGGGGCGCTCTTGAGGAGCTCTTGAGGTGCCCCTGCCCCGAAGAACACCAAGAGGCAGCTCGCTCTCCCTCCCTCCTTCCCTCACAAGTGCCCATTGGGTCTCTCCTCCTCACTGGGCAAGAGAGACAAAAACGCCAGCGTGCATCCCTCTCCAGGTGTTATGAAGTGCACAGAGAAGGAGGGGCGATGGAGGGTGTGCACTTCCTAATGCCGGAAAAGGGACATGCAGCAGTGTTGCCGGGCACGTGGGAAAAGAGGCATGCACGATGCCTCTTTTCCTGCATGCCCAGCAACGCCGCTGCGTGTCCCTTTCCTGGCGTTAGGAAGTGCGCGCCCTGCATCGCCCCTCCTTCTCCGCGCACTTCCTAACACCTGGAGAGGGACGCACGCTGGCGTTTTTGTCTCCCTTGGCCTGCGGGACTTGCCGCGCGCGCCTCTCATTGGTTCGAGCCCTGCTGGCCCCGCCCCCTTTCGCCCTCTGAGCCTCTGGAGGTAAGTAGAACGCGCTCGAACCCAAAATGGCCGGCCGTGGCGGGACTTTGCCTTTTGCACAGCTCTCGCTCTGCGCATGCGTAAAGACCTAACCAGACGCCCGGGCTCACTTCAGCATCGAGATCTACCCTTGTAGCCTCGCCACTGGCTACTTGCTGCTTTCTTAACTCATGTTGAGAAAGATATTGCTATCTTCTGCCTTATAAACATGTCTGAATAATCAGGGTGTATTCTCTCACAAGACAAACATTCTGTCAATTGGTAATTTGCTGTTTAAGATAGACCTCAGAAAAGCAGGGAATGTGCCAGCCATGTCTGAGAGAAATAGGTCGTACTGTACAGACAAAACCATTTAACACTTTGAAGACTTGCACTTTCAAGGCCTCTCTGTGGATTGTGGCCTGTTTGCATTGTGGGAGACTGTCAATGCAGTAACTCCAGACTATCTATATCTATCTTTGCTGTGGTTAGCATAAGAAAGAGTTAACACCCCTGTGGTGTTTGTTTTGCTGTCAGTGCCTCTGTTCAGGAGGTTTTCCCACATTTTCGATCCTTGTGATAGTTAGATTCTGCAAAATGGCACTTTATCTAACTACCTTACTCACAGGTTTTACAATTTTCACTCCTTGCACTTGGCCCATTAAGCCTTGGTTTAATTCTTGTATTGTTTTTATACTCTGTTTCATTATGTTATTGTTATTAATTTATTGACTCATTATGGTATAAGTATAAGCATTTTTACTTGATGTTGTGTGTCTTGTGTGTATTTTATTTTGCTTTTTGTAATTGCTTGGGCTTGGCCCTATGTTAGCCGCCCTGAGTCCGGGGTATAAAGTTGTTGTTGTTGTTGTTGTTGTTACTACTACTACTACTACTACTACTACTACTACTCTTTCAGGACCAAATTTCCCTTTCTTAGTGGTCAATTTCTCTCACTTCCTACTGTCTCACCCCTGTTTGGGACTGCCTGTAGTCTTTTTTAATGGGTGGGTTGTTGATTTGATCTTCGAGATGTGAAATAAGAGGGATTTGGGCAGTGTTGGCCCTTTTGCAATTGGCTGGTCACTATCTGAAACCATAGTGTTTTTGAATGGATTGGAATATTGGGTTGCTGTGAGTTTGGCCATGTTCTAGAAGCATTCTCTCCTGAGGTTTCGCCCATATCTGTGCCAGGCATCCACATAGGTTGTGAGTTCTGTTGGAAACTAGGCAAGTGAGGTTTATATATCTGTGGAATAACTACCAGGTACTGTTTACCCACAAGCATCAAGAAATTACATATATTAGAAACCAACTTTCTCATTACTTTCTTTTCAAGATCACCAGACTGGATCACAGCAACACATGTCAGGGGACAGCTAGTGTATGGATGGCATGGGACAACTTCGGCCCTCCATGTGTTTTGGACTTCAACTCCTACAATTCCAAACAGCCAGTAGGAAGTCCCAAATTACCTGGAGGGCCAAAATTTGTCCATGCCCCCCCCTCTCTCATATATATATATATATATATATATATATATATATATATATATATAATGTTGTTGTTCATTTGTTCAGTCGTCTCCGACTCTTCGTGACCTCATGGACCAGCCCACGCCAGAGCTCCCTGTCGGCCGTCACCACCCCCAGCTCCTTCAAGGTCAGTCCAGTCACTTCAAGTATGCCATCCATCCATCTTGCCCTTGGTCGGCCCCTCTTCCTTTTGCCTTCCACTTTCCCCAGCATAATTGTCTTCTCTAGGCTTTGCTGTCTCCTCATGATGTGGCCAAAGTACTTCAACTTTGTCTCTAGTATCCTTCCCTCCAGTGAGCAGTCGGGCTTTATTTCCTGGAGGATGGACTGGTTGGATCTTCTCGCAGTCCAAGGCACTCTCAGCACTTTCCTCCAGCACCACAGCTCAAAAGCATCGATCTTCCTTCGCTCAGCCTTCCCTAAGGTCCAGCTCTCACATCCGTAGGTGACTATATATGTATATATATATATATATATATATAGTTGGGGGGGGGGGAGGCGCCAAAATACTGTTTGGTTACCATTGAAAATTACCTAGGGCCACCTCTGAACAAAGATCACCTAAAGCCTATCCTCTGACCACCTGAAATTGGCATTACAGCAAAACGAAATTTTCATGATGCAACTGATAGCATGACAGAACTGAGAAAAGAAGTTATTCACAGAGGTTTTGCATTAATGAAAAGAAACACTTTTCAAACTGTCTCCAGGACAGAAACAGGACAGTGATGGCATCGTGCAATAAATCTCAGCCAAAGGTATGATTATACTACTCCAGTTGCTATTTATGGCCTCATATAATAAATTACTGAGTGTAGTAGCAATGTAATGAGACATACTTATCCCTTTTTTATTCTCCAGTTTTCTTAATTTGCTCATAAGGACCATGATTTCCACACATGGCATTTATGCCCCTCTCACTTTACCTTGCTTTATTGTTTTTATTGTTATTTGACATCACATTGGCTTCAATTTGTGGTTGCCCTATAAATAGGAGATGGGCAAATACTCCTGTTACTAACCATCTTACAAACCTACAACTGTACCTCCCTTGACTGGACCAAACCACTTTCTCCTGCCTTACTTTATCACCTTTTTCAGTGAGTCACATTATTTAATTATATATTAATAATGAATCAGCCTAATCACCAGCGCGGCTTGTAGGGATGAGGGAGAGAGCCTTCTCCATGGTGGCCCCTCGGTTTTGGAACTTGCTACCCAGTGAGATTAGGCAACCTCCTACCCTGGCAGTCTTTAAGAAAGGCCTAAAAACCTAGGTCTTCAGGTGTGCCTTTGACGAATGAACACAAATCTCCATACCATGTCCATCCCAGTATAGATCTGTCCTCTTGATGCACTTTCTCTCGTCCCTTAGTGAAGGTTAACCCCATTGTTCGCCCCTTCTGAGTTTCCCCTCAGACACATAACTCTATTTATTCATCTCACCCAAGGTTTTATAAATTTTATCCTTTGCATTTGCCCCGCCCACTTTGTTTTAATTTCTCTACCATTTTATTTTGCATTTGTTTTATTGTATATTTTGTTATTGTTTGCATTTTATTTTGATGTTATTATTTGCTTGTTTGTATTTTACTTTGCTTTATTGTAATTATTGGGCTTGGCCTCATGTCAGCAGCCCCGTCCCCTTGGGGAAATGGTGACGGGGTATAAATAAAGTATATTATTATTATTATTACTACTACTACTATTATTATTATTATTATTAGAATGTTATCTAGTTTCTTCATAGCAGACTTCGCAAGTTTTAGCATTCTTCTGATTTCTTAATTATTAGGGGTGTACACGATTCTGTTTTACGATACTGGGTTTGGGAAAATTCAGGAATTTGGCTGTCAGATCCCCAAAAATGGATATGGTTGGGGACAGCTGAAGCCTTAACTGATACAGATCACAGCAGCTGGATCATTCAGCTAATGGGGGCTAATGGGGCTGAGTGGCACTTTACTTGAGGTGGGAGCCACAGCATGTGGGTGGTCCCGTAAATCAGGCAAGAGTGGGTGCCTGGCAGCAGTGGCTCCTCCTCTTCTTCCCCAGCACTCTTCCCCATTCCCCCTAATCCCCAGACCCCACTTGAGGCAAATGGAAATTTGTTTTCCCAGCAGCACTTTCCCAGTACAGGATGGTGAGAGCGACCATTTGAGCTCTGGATTCTTGTCTATCCTGGCTAGTTAAACTGGCCAGAGAAGGGTTGTTGGAATGGTTTGTTGCAATAATAAATGCTTCATTGGGTCAGGGAAAATTCCCGTTCTGCCTTAAGCAGGCGGTGGTAAAACCTCTATTAAAGAAAACCTCCCTTGACCCAATGGTATATAACAACTACAGACCAATTTCCAACCTCCCTTTTTTAAGGCAAGGGTCTGGAGGGGGTGGTTGCCTCGCAGCTTCATTGTACCTCAATGACACCGATTTTCTGGATCGCTCGTAGTCTGGCTTTAGGCCTGGGCACAGTACCGAGATAGCTTCCGTCGCCTTGGTGGATGACCTCCGCAGGGAACTGGACAGGGGGAGAGTGACCCTGCTGGTTCTCTTGGATATCTCAGCGGCTTTCGATACCATCGACCATGGTATCCTTCTGGGGAGACTCGCTGGGATGGGACTTGGGGGCATGGTTTTACTATGGCTCCGGTCCTTCCTGGAGGGTCATTCCCAGTTAGTGAAGCTGGGGGACTCCTGCTCGGCCCCCTGGCCATTGACCTGTGGGGTCCCACAAGGTTCTATTCTGTCCCGCATGCTATTTAACATTTACATGAAACCACTGGGAGAGGTCATCCGGAGTTTTGGAGTACGGTGCCATCTCTACGCAGATGACACACAACTCCACTACTCATTTCCACCAGATTCCAAGGAAGCCCCGAGGATACTGGACCAGTGCCTGGCTGCTGTGACAACCTGGATGAAGAAGAACAAGCTGAGGAACAATCCTGACAGGACAGAGGTCCTCCAGGTCAGTCACTCGGCTGACCGGGGTATTGGGTGGCAACCTATGCTGGATGGGGTTGCACTCCCCCTGAAATCACAGGTCCGTAGTTTGGGGGTCCTCCTGGACTCAGCACTGACTCTTGATGCGCAGGTGTCGGCCTTGGCCAGGAGGGCCTTCGCACAATTAAAACTTGTGCGCCAACTGCGACCTTACCTTGGGAAGTCTGACTTGACCATGGTGGTCCATGCCTTAGTTACCTCTAGACTGGACTACTGTAATGCACTCTATGTGGGGCTACCCTTGAAGACAGCCCAGAAACTACAACTTGTCCAACGTTCGGCAGCCAGATTAATAACTGGGGCAACTTACAGGGAGTGGTCAACCCCCTGTTTAAGGAGCTCCACTGGCTGCCATTTATTTTCCGGTCCTAATTCAAGGTGCAGGTTAACACCTATAAAGCCCTAAACAGTTTGGGACCCGCCTACCTTCGCGACTGTATCTCCCTCCATGTACCATCTCAGGCCCTCTGATCTTCTGGGGAGGCCCTTCTCTCACCCCTTCAAGTTTCACAAGCTCGCCTGGTGAGTGCAAAGGAGAGAGCTTTTTCCTCTGTGGCTCCCCAACTCTGGAACTCATTGCCTGGAGAAATTAGGAAAGCCCCTACTCTAGAAACCTTTAAAAAGAACCTTAAAACCTGGCTCTTCCGCTGCGCCTTTGGTGAGTAGGTATACAATCTCACTTTATTGCTCAGCCTCAATGTTCTGTCATTGGAGTACACATCCCCCCCCCTTGGGAAAGCCTGATTCCACAACCCCCGCTAAAAGAGCCCTCCTCCACAAATAACCTGCTTTTCTTTTATCTCGCCCGAGTTTTAATTAGTTTTTAATTAGTTCTTATTTTAATCATTACATGTAGCCCACCCATTGTCATTGTGTTTGTGCTTATTGTAATTTTATATTGTTATGTATTCACATGTTCTATGTTCTATGATGATGTTGTTGTTATTGTTCGCATTTCAGTTTGCATTTTCAGTTGGCCTCATGTAAGCCGCTCCAAGTCCCCATCGGGGAGATGGTGGCGGATATAAATAAAGATTATTATTGTTGTTGTTATTGTTATTATTATTATTGAAGGAGCCTCTGCACTCCCTCCTGGGGCATGATGGGAGTTGAGGTTTTTCTCTTTCTGTGTTTCACACTTTCTTAGCCAATCAGAGGCCTGGTTGACTGTGTCCATTCTCCTCCCCTTTTGTGGCATGTGCTTGGGACTTCAATTCCCAGAACCCAGTCTTGTAGTTTATTTTTAAAAGTTATGGTAAAAACTTTTAACGTTTTCCCAAAATCAGTGGATTTGTGAAACATTCTGAAACTTGGCGTGCTTGCAGCCATTAATGTGGCCTACAAGTGAGGCAGGTTTCATGTTGATAGACCTAAAATAACAGAAAAATAAGCCTCTAAAGTTCCCTTATTGGCACCAATGGACTGAATCTTACAGGCACAAAAACAGAACCCCCTTCCCGATTTCAGTAATTTCCTGGTAAACAGGATGTCGGGTGAACCAAAAAGGGGCAGTTTTTGGCTAAGTCGTACACCCCTATTAATTGCACCTCAGTTTTGACTAATGAGTAAGCCAATATTTATACAACCTTTAACTATTTTAATGTCTTCATCATCCATTTCAAAGTTATGTAAATTAGTTGTCATCTTTATGTTTGTTTTCTTAATATTTACATGTAATTCCAGCTAACTGTAATTGTGAGGGTAAGTAAGTAATGCCCTTTCCCTGTACCCATTAGCATGGCAAAAGGGAATGGATCATACCCATGTCACCCCAGCCACTGTTCCTAGCCACATGACCAGCAAGAAGGAGAGGTGATCACATGTAAATGTGTCCTATGAGACTTATGCAGAGCCTCTCCAGTGCCCACTTGGGCTTCTATGAATAGTTTGTTTTTCTTTTTGCCAACAACATAGAATTTTGTTTGTTTTTTTTTAGGATAATTCAAATAATGCCAGAAACTTCTACTGTGAATTTATAAATGACACCATGAAATTTCCCTTTGGTAATAACAGTTCCTTAGAGGTAAGACTTCTTAAGAATGTCAAACATTTGACCACAACTTCTCCTTCTTGAGAATCTGTTGTGCTTTTTCGATTCAACATTGTGTGTTTCTCCTTGTGTAGTACAGTGGAGGAAGGATGAAAATGAAATAAAGGGCAGCAATTTTAAGTATCAGGTTTGATGCAATTTTCTTTTATGAGGTTTCTGGTGTAGTTTTGAATTACTGAAATAGCTATCTTATTAATAATAAAGTTCATGGTTATTATTTTGTATTATTTTGAGATATTTGTATCTATTTAGGGCATTGAATGTTTACCCTTTTTTGTGTAAACTGCCCTGAGTCCCCTTGGTGAGAGAGGGCGGTCCAAAGTTTTTTATTATTATTATTATTATTATTATTATTATTATTATTATTATTATTATTATTATTATTATTATTTTAAGTTAATTGCCAATTCTAATACAGTATTATTATCTACGTTGATAGGTCAAATATGCTCACCATTGCAATCAGACAGTGTTGTATATCTGATTGTTTTAACTAGAAATATCTTGGACTGAATATTTATTTCATTGTCATCAGTACGTGCACAAACAGAGATAGATAACTCTCATGGGATAAAGAATCACATTAGCTTTAAAGAAATGATGGAGGGGTGCATTTATGCCACACCCATTGCAAAAAATAACACACACTCCCCTGTACCCTTGGGTGGTGGTTTGCAACAGAATGTGATCAAAAAGTTAAGTTCCAGGTCACTTTCGATCAGGAAAAAAGTAGCTGGGGAGGATGTAGAAAGATTGTCCTCAATGGAGGCGGGGAATTAACCATAGTACCCACATGAATAGCCCTAGAGATGATGTTTACATAGTGTCTGTGCTTTTCCTTGCCCCTGCAATTCAGTGATGAATATATTATGAAAAATCCTCTATTTATTTAACGCTTGTGAAAAATAAAATTTAAAAATCAAAATGTTCTAAGTTCTGTTTCCCATCTTTCATACTGCAGAACAAAGTCCAGTTCTTTGAAAATCGTGTCAACAATTACCTTCACAGTGTCAAAGCACAGGAGGAACGTTTATCAGCTGTAACTTTTGCTCTGGAATTTCTAGGCTCAAATGCAGCAAAAAGAGCTCTTGAAAATCCAAGGGAAGGAGTACAAACTGCTGGTAATGGCTCAATAGGTGAGGGAAAGAAAATGTGCTTTCATTTTATAAGGGGGAGGGAGAGAGGGAAGGAAGTTTATTTTATTTATTTATTTATTTATTTACCATACTTATATACCATCTCTCTCAACCCGAAGGTGACTCGGGGCAGTTTACAGTCGGCAGTCAATGCCCCCAAACAACATAAAATATAGTTAAAACATTACATATAAACCATATAAAAACAGTAGAACAATAAAAACCCTAAAACACAAGTCCTCAGCGTCTCATCACTAAAATAATTTTTCCGTCACATCGTCCAATCATTCCGTGGATCTAAATTAGTCTGTTACACTGCATCTGCAAATGCCTGCTCAAAAACCCAGGTTTTAACTCTTTCGAAATGTTAGGAGGGAGGGGGCCGATGTGATATCCCTAGGGAGGGCATTCCATAGCCGAGGGGCCACCGCTGAGAAGGCCCTGTCTCTCGTTCCTGCCAATCGCACCTGTGAAGGAGATGGGATTGAGAGCAGGGCCTCCCGAGACGATCTTAGGTGCCTAACTGGTTCATAGGGAGAGATGCGTTCGGACAGGTAAGCTGGGCCGGAACCGTTTAGTGACACCTCTTATTTTTGCTTCCCTTTCTCACATTTATCACTATGGAATTCCTTTCTGATGTGTATGACCACATTAGCAGGTCACATATCATTGTTCACAGGTGTCTTGGATGCAGTTTTATCTTACCAACCTTTTTGCAATAGCATTTGGCTTTCTTTTCTTTTCTTTTTAAAAAGGCCTTTTCCTCAAACAAACAAACACCTTTGAGGATTCTGTACCTTATAGTCCTGGCAGCTCTTCAGCAGTTTTGGGCTTTAGAGTCCTTGGTCTTCAGGGCAAAAACTGGGCCCATAATCAATGTCGCAATGAAGATTAATATGTGTAGTCGCAAAAAGCCATGGAAGATTTCCCCCTCCGATCAAGGAGTAAACTCACACCTTTGTCTTTGCAGTAGACTTTATATATCAATATAAATAAAAATGTAATGTATTGTCGAAGGCTTTCATGGCTGGAATCACTAGGTTCTTGTGGGTTTTTTCGGGCTATAGGGCCATGTTCTAGAGGCATTTCTCCTGACGTTTCGCCTGCATCTATGGCAAGCATCCTCAGAGGTAGTGAGGTCACCTCACTACCTCTGAGGATGCTTGCCATAGATGCAGGCGAAACGTCAGGAGAAATGCCTCTAGAACATGGCCCTATAGCCCGAAAAAACCCACAAGAACCTAAAAATGTAATGTTAGTTTGTGGGATTAACATAACTCAAAAACCACTGAATGAATTGACATCAAACTTGGACACAAGACACCTTTCAGGACAACGAGTGACTATCACTCACAAAAACACTGAAAAGCACAACAGATGAGACTTAAAAAGCCAAAAAACAAAAAAAAAAATGCATCACAACGCATGCACAAAACCACATACATACACAAAAACATACATATATACACATACATATATGCATATACACACACAAAACACATATACACAGACTGGGCCACAGCAACATGTGGCAGGGGACAGCTAGTATATATATATATATATATATATAGAGAGAGAGAGAGAGAGAGAGAGAGAGAGCATTTACAGTGGCTGAAGACTGGATTACTTCTCCAGCCTTCTTTTCCTGATACTTCCCGATAACTGGAGACTTCTTACAGGCTGGATTTGTAATCTAATTCTTCATGATACTCCAACCTTCAGTCTTCTCAAGACAAAAGCCTCTCAGAACGCCAATTTTCCAATTCCCCAGCAAACTCCAACCTTCCAACTCCTTTATTACCCCAGCAGTTACTTCACTCTGTCTGTAATTACACAATGCTAGCCAGGTGGTTTGGCTCTTGCTGCCTTAAGCCTTACATTACTTGTTACTTAAGAACTGATAAAAACTATAACAATCAGACAGGCAAAATTGCCTGTCCTATGAAAGTTTGACTTCACTTCAGACATGGAGCCCAGTGGACCCCGTCACACTACGATTTACTTCCAGCAGGACTCCATGCCTGAAGTGAGGTTGAACTGTTGTAAGAGGCAGCATCGGCAACATGGGAGGCTTCCTGTGTTGCATAGAGAACAGAGGGAAAGCCAGGCAGTGACGCTTATTCTCATGAGATGAAGTAGGACCAATGTGAGCAATTCAGGGCAGGAGGCAACAGGTTCCCATGCCCCATGCAGGATTCGCCATGAGCCATGGCAAATACTCCTGCTATCGCCTAGGTTGGTGACCTCAATGTGATGAGGTCCCTAGTTATTGTAACTATGAACCAGAGATATAACCAAAAATAGGGAGAGAGCGTACTACTAATGTGGAAAAAGTGGCAGCAGCAGGTATCTTCTTAAACCTCCTGCCAACTAAGTAAGAACGCAGAGGATTAGAGCTTGATATAATAAATAAATTCATTTCAATCCAGTATTCAAAGAAACATGCGAAAAACTAGGTTGTAATTTTTGTTGATTTGGGGGTGTTAGATTCTCAAACTTCCTGTTCCAATTTGTAGGGCCTTTTCCCCCTTTAACTTTTTGTATTAAAGATTAAAAACTTGAAATGATATTAAAATAATATATAAAAAGGCTAAATAAAAATAATACTACCAGAATGATTGCAAAGATAAAAAAGAAGTTTAAAAGATGGATTTTTAAAAATAAAACTTTATTTCTGACTTTTCTGTTTTCCTGCTTTATTATAAAAATAGTTAAAACTGCATATTATTTGTGTCACCTGCTACAGATATTATATTATATGTTGTATAATAGAGCAATATGCCGTACATATGCATGCAGGAATTTACATTTCTCCTTCACTCATTTTAGTAATCCAAACAAATCTTATAAATGAAGAATCAATTTCTGAAAACAAAGTGGTCATTTTAGAAGCCCAAGAGGACCAAATGACTATATATCCCAAAGCAGTAACCAACAATTCCATCAAAGGTATGCTGTTACACAATGCTCAGCTTATATATATGTCATGATTCATTTTATGGAATCCTGTGGTTCGCAGTTTTGTGGAGTAGTAGAGGAAATTCTTATTTGAGTAATGATAAACTGATGGAACAATCCATTTTGCTCTTCTTGAGATCTTTGGGCAAAAAAACCAGCTAAATCATGTAAAAAGGAAATCAATGCAATTGTATTTTGGGGTCTTGAAGGGAAAGTGTCCAGTCTGTTTTAGCCACTTCTTCCAGTTTAGATGGCGAGCATTCAAGTTGTAGTAGACTTTTCTGTGCATGAAATCCATTCTTTTCCAGCTCTGTATTATTTCCCTTTTCCATGAAAAATATACATTTTATGGGTTCATTCATCCTATCTGCCATGTAGAGAGGGAAAAAGTTCCAGCAATTCGGACGCTTTGCAAGGATTGTATGCACTTGAGGAAATTGGTTTTTGAACGCAATTCCCCAAATATTTTTGTGCAAATTGAAGCAGTTTCTGACAGCAGAGCGGCTATTGGCACATCTTCACTACCGCTATAATGCAGTTGGAAACCATTTTCACAGCTGTGCAAAGGATTAAAGTGCCATGCTTGGAACTGGTTTGAATTTAGAAAGGTAATTAGACAGAAGATGGCCTCAAATTGCTATGCAGTTCTCCGCCACCTGTTCTATAGAGATCCAGTGTTCCAGAGACTTTGGGGGCGGGGGGTTCTTTGGAGCATTTCTTGGCAATCACCATTTTGGTTTCTTTCCTGTGCTTCTTTGGGAGCAAGTGTCCATAATGCGTTTTGCATTTTGCGGAACTGATTTTGCCCTGGGTCTAGGATATACTAGGATCTTCTGAAACACATTATGAAGGTTATTTTGGATGTTTCTGAAACTTTTAAAATGTGCTGTATCTCCTTTAATGCACACTGCAGTATTTATTTATTTATTTATTTATTACTGGTACTTTTACCCCGCCCTTCTCAACCCCCGAAGGGGGACTCAGGGCGGCTTACAGAAAAGGCAGAATTCGATGCCTATACACGATACATAGTATACAAAAATATAAAAGAACAATATACAAAAAATGCAATTAAAACTATAACACAATAAAACATCAACAACTGGTACCTGAGATATTATATAAACATCATATAAAACATCCTATAACAGTCAATTCTTATAATCAGCGTTTCGTTTCCAGAGTTCCACATAACCAATCCGGTAGTCATTTCCTAGCCATCAATGGAGTTCTTCTTTATTTACCCGCTTGTCCGAATGCCAGGTCCCAGATCCATGTTTTTAGTTTTCTCCTGAAGGAAAGGAGCGTGGTTGCAGATCTGATTTCCCCGGGGAGAGAGTTCCATAGGCGGGGGGCCACCACCGAGAAGGCCCTGCTCCCCGTCCCCGCCAATCTCACTTGTGATAGAGGCGGGGTCGAGAGCAGGGCCTCCCCAGAAGATCTTAGGCTCCGGGGTGGGACGTAGAGGGAGATCCGTTCGGACAGATACACTGGGCCGGAACCGTATAGGGTTTTATAGGTCAAAACCAGCACCTTGAATTGTGCTCGGAACTGGATCGGCAGCCAGTGGAGCTGACATAACAGGGGGGTGGTATGCTCCCTGTATGACGCCCCGGTGAGCAATCTGGCTGCCTCTCGCTGGACTAGTTGGAGTTTCCGAGCAGTCTTCAAAGGCAACCCCACGTAGAGTGCGTTGCAGTAATCTAATCGGGATGTAACAAGAGCGTGGACCACCGTGGCCAGATCCGACTTCCCAAGGTACGGGCGCAGCTGGCGCACAAGTTTTAATTGTGCAAAAGCTCTCCCAGCCACCGCTGAGACCTGGGGTTCCAGGCTCAGCGATGAGTCCAGGATCACTCCCAAGCTGCGAACCTGCGTCTTCAGGGGGAGTGTAACCCCGTCTAACACAGGCTGTAACCCTATGCCCTGGTCGGCCTTACGACTGACCAGTAGGACCTCTGTCTTGTCTGGATTCAGTTTCAATTTGTTAGCTCTCATCCAGTCAGACACAGCGGCCAAGCACCGGTTCAAGGTCTGGACAGCCTCCTTGGTGACAGGTGAGAAGGAGTGACAGATTTGGACATCATCTGCATAGAGATAACATCCTCATTCCGAAACTCCGAATGATCTCCCCCAGCGGCTTCATGTAGATGTTAAATAACATCGGGGACAAGATTGAACCCTGTGGGACTCCACACAACAACGGTTGTGGGGCCGAACAGGTGTCACCCAGTAACACCTTCTGGGACCGTCCCTCAAGAAAGGATCGGAGCCACTGCAATGCAGTGCCCCCGAGCCCCATGTCCAAGAGGCGTCCCAGAAGGATACCGTGATCGACGGTATCGAAGGCCGCTGAGAGGTCCAGCAGAACTAACAGGGACACACTCCCCCTGTCAAGTTCCCTGCGCAGATCATCTACCAAGGAGACCAAGGCTGTCTCAGTTCCATGTCCCGGCCTAAAGCCAGACTGTGCCGGATCTAGATAATCCGTGTCTACCAGAAACCCCTGGAGTTGTGTTGCCACCACACGTTCCATGACTTTGCCCAAATAGGGGAGATTGGAAACTGGCCGATAGTTGTCGAATTGAGTGGGATCCAGTGATGGTTTCTTCAACAGCGGTTTTATAATAGCTTGTTTTAAGCTCGCTGGAAATTTTCCTTCCTGTAAGGAGGCATTGACCATCACCTTCACCCACCCTGCCAAACCCCCTCTGGCTTCCTTGACCAGCCAGGATGGGTAGGGGTCTAGGATGCATGTAGTGGGTCTTACCTCTCCAAGGATCCTGTCCACATCCTCAAGCTGAACCAATTGAAACGAATCCATTAAACCTGGACATTGGCAGTGTGTATTCATTGGCAGTGTGTATTTTGTGGCCGCTACACTTTCAAATTGGCTTGGAGCCACATTAAATGGTTAGTGTAGATGGGCCCAATGTTATCAAGTGAATGCATTTTTAATTCAGCTGACCTGGAAAAAATATGCCATCCATATATATCTGCTCTTTTCTTTCAGTATGGATTGTAAATAGTATAGGGTTACTTGAGGGAGTCTGAAATATTAGGGGGAGTATGGCTCCATCTAGCACCGGTGGAGTCCCTTTATCCTGATCTTTATTTTGATTAACCAGAACTACCACTTTCTAGTCTCAGCTTTTTTGCCCTCATACAGTCTATTCTTGACAACAGACATTGATTACATACTAAGACAGCTTCCTCGGAATTAGATAAGAAGGAGAGGTAGAGTTAGGCTGACATCTAAATATCAATGACAATGAATTCCTAAATTTAAAATGACCTCTCTCAGTAGTTTAATGTAGATGTTAAATAGCATGGAGGTCAAAATGGAGTCCTGAGGGATCCCACAGGCCAATGACCAGGGCATCAAACAAGAGTCTTCCAACACCACCTTCACAATTCACCCTTTAAAAATACCAAACCCTATGTAATGTAGTGGTCCTAAGTCCCATCCCAAGGAGCTGACCCAGATTAAAAGGTGTAGATATATACTCTTCCCCATTTTGAAACCCTTGAAGCTAAGGAGTCATAATACATTCCAGAACATTGCCCAAAAATGCAATATCAGATCCTGGCTGCTAATGACTTAGAATGATGGGATCCGGGGAAGTCATTTTTAGCAATGGACTTACCACAGCCTCTTTTAAGGCGAGGTGGAAACTTCTGTTCTTTGAGGAAGGCAATCCTCACTCCTCTTCACCACTCAACCCATCCCTGATTCTTTCAAGGGCTGCTTTGACACAGCCACATAATCCACTACCACTCCAGAGAGTCTTCACACGTACCCCAAGAACTGTGAAAAAGCTCCTGCAGCATTCGCAAAGCTCTCCTCATCATGCTGAATTGATCCAACAAAACAACTTTTTTCTTACTCCATTTAAAGAAATCCAAGGAATTGTAGCAGCCCATCAGATGGGAATTGGCAATAGAGCTCATCTTCCAACTCAAAAACAAAAAGGGGAACGTGATTTCTTCTTGAGAAGGGAGGGAAAAGGCATTTGTTTACCTTCTTGAGAGTGCCATATCTGACACCTTTATCTGAATTTTCCAGAACTGGCACCATTTAGAAGAATGCTGCATATGTTCCTCCCAAATTTCTGCTGTGCAGCACTTGCTGTAAAATCCAAGATGTTGTGGATTTTAACTGATCATCTTCAGTGCATTTTTAATTATATTTTATTGAGTTTTCTTTATTGCCGATTCCTGATTTTCTCCTGATTTCTTTAATCATATGTTTTCCATGTGGGTGTGCATTGCAGCATGCATTAGGGGTGTGTTCTCTAACCACCCTCCCCTTTTATAATCCACAACATCCTGGATTTTACATCAAGTGCATATGAGGCCGAAAGCAACTGTGGCTATCTCTACTGTGATGCTTTAGTTACTAAGATATAGCCAGTGTTTTGAAATAATGTGTGTCTTTTTTCCCTGTCTCTAAACTTTCCACAGGCCCTATTGCTGTGGCTTTTATATCATACAGTGGGCTGGGATCATTTCAAGCAGAAGGGATTTTCTTGCAAGATGACACTCTGTCAAACAATGAAGTGCTGGAAGACATTCATGTGAACTCCAGGGTAGTCAGCGTTTCCACCAGCAATACGATGAGGAATGTTTCCAGCCCTGTCAACCTCACTTTTCAGCATCTTGAGGTGTGTAAATTGAGACTGTAGAGGAGGTCTGGGAAATGTCAAATCAAGGAATTGTCAAACCTAGTGGAGAACCTGAATGACAACAATTTAGCTGTCCTCAGCAGAACTCCCTCTTATGATCCAAGAGGGAGTTCAGAGCCTCAACAGACACAGACTGGTTTTAAGTGTTATCAGACATACAGTTCTTTCATGAACCTTTCATTTGTCTCCTATTAATATTGATATTAATATTGATATTGATATTAATAAAGAAGGTCCTAATTGGAGACGGTGTGTTGTAGTGATTTGAGTTGTGGACTATGACTCTGGAGAGGGTTGAAACTCTGCTTGGCCATGGAAATCCATTGAGTGACCTGGGCAAATCACACACTCTCAGCCTCATAGGTATGCAAAGGCAAAGTTCCTCTGCACAAAACTTGCCAAGGAAATTCCAAGATAGGGTTGCCTTTGAGCTTTCATCAGTTAGAACAGACATGGGCAAATTTTGGCTCTCCAGCTGTTAGGAATTGTGGAAGTTGACTTCCAAACACCTGGAAGACCGAAGTTTGTCCATTCTTGAGTAAAAAACAACCTGAGAGCACACAACAATAGTAAGACCCTAATCTGAAAATTGAGAGCCAGTGTGACATAGCGGTTTGAATATTAGATTATGACATTGGGAAGCCAAAAAATAAATTCATACTCAGCCCTGGGTGACCTTGGGCAAGGCATGCTCTCTCAGCCTCAGAGGAAGGCACGAGCAAACCCCTTTTGAACAGATACTGCCAAGACGAAACTAGGTTCACCTTAAGCATATCAGAAGATGGAATTATTTTGAAGGCATACAACATCAATGACAATTTGGACATTTGTAGAAAGACTATGCACGTGGACTTCCTACTTTTCTCCTTCAACAATTCTCTTCTCCTACAGGCTAATAAAGATCTACAGAAAAAAGTTATTTGTGTCCATTGGGATTCTGCAAGGAGCAGTGACACCTGGTCCTCTGCGGGCTGTCATTATCTATATTCTAATGCCACTCATACAAAGTGCAGCTGTCAGTACCTGTCCAATTTTGCTGTGTTGATGGCCACTACTCCTATCCAGGTATGTGAGATTTAAGTTAGAAAAGACTTTGGTCCTCCGGTTGTAGAAAACAAGGACTGTTCAAACTGTTGTTATCCATTTATTATTATCTTGCATATTATTTCATTCACTCCCCTCCTCCATTTTTGTATTACACCTTAGATCTACACTTCTGAAACATTGGTGTAAATTGAGTTCAAAGTGCAAAAGTAACTCAATAGTGGGGAGAGGAGGAGACAGAATCGCCCCCTTTTAGTAGGCTCAGGTAAAAGCAAAGTGCTGCATGCCTCCAAGCTTGTGTACCTTTCCTCATTACAAAACATTTGACATCTTGACTACATTCTTACATTGCCCTATGAAACCTTGGAGGGTGTGAACCTTTTGATGTGGGATGTGGCTATTGGTGATGAAAAGTTTGATATAGTTCATATGGCTAAAAGTATGGGTGTGTGCAATGTGAAAAACATCACCCGGCTTACCTACAATAGCTTCTTTTAGTTTCCCTCAAAATTATTTGGATTTAGTTTTTCAAGTGTAATTCTTGCATTCACTTTGGATTTTGCTTGAAGGGAAATCCAAAGGTAATTGGAATCTCCAAAACCTGATTAAATATGTAAACACATTTTGCTTTCAGAAGACTGGAGGTATTCTGAAAATTTACATGTGATAACTCAGAATTTATTCCTGTCATTCATTTCATATTGCATATACTGTAAATATGAAAGCGCTTATGTATTTGTTGTGTTTCAATATGTAGCTGAGCACTTTATTTCCAACCATAGGATATCTGATGCCAATGAACTACAGCAGGCCTGCACAACTTGGCAGTAGTGAAGGGCCAAAATTAAAATAGTTTAAATCTCTTTGTGCCACAGATAGGTTTTTAACACTTCATTCAGTGTTTGTGAGAGGGTGCCTTTCCTTCAGAACAAGCAAATTGAATTGTCCTCGATTTTCCCACTTCCCACCACACGTGGCAGGTTACAGTGCTTTTCTGAGGGAAAGAAAAAAATCCTTCAGTTCTTGCCTTCACAGTCCTTCCTTTCCCTTTGCCTCTGTGTTCCCTCTGTCATCTCTTCCTCCTGTCGTTTCCCTTGCTTGTGAGGGAGAAACGTGTATTCATCATGAAAATCCTGCAACAAGTTTTTCCCTCATAAACAAGGGAAATGAACAATACAGAGTTGGCATTTTTTGCCTCCCGGGGAGGAGAAGACAATAGAGGCAATCCAGAAGCAAACGAAAAGGAAACGAAGTACAGTCAAGTTATTTTGGTAACTTTGGTGGCAAGACAAAGGAAACGTGTAGAGGGAGGAATGGCAGGTTCTGACTGCTACTCTGCATTAGTGCTTTATGTGACCTGTCTCTTTAAGGTGTAGACTCAGAGCCTCTGTGGGCTGCACCAATTCCTTGTGAGGGCCGCATCCGGTTCCTGGGCTGCATGTTGTTCAGGCCTGGACTAGAGAGATTTAAAACAGTTAAGAATCTGTAACTTTAAATGTAGGTCAAATCAAGTAGATTAGTGCTACTGATATCTGATAGGGGCACCAGCAGCTCACTCTCTCTCTCTCTCTCACACACACACCCACCAGTGTGCCACTGACTGGCATCATATGTACCCACTTTTCTTTCTTTTCTGGAATCTCTCTAAGGAGTTTTTTCCCAAGTCAGGAGTGACTTGAGAAACTGCAAGTCACTTCTGGTGTAAGAGAATTAGCTGTCTGCAAGGACATTGCCCAGGGGACGCCCAGATGTTTGATGTTTTACCATCCTGTGGGAAGCTTCTCTCATATCCCTGCATGAGAAGCTAGAGCTGAGATGGGAGCTCACCCTGCTCCCCAGATTTGAACTGCCAACCTATTGGTCAGCAGCCCTGCTAGCATAAGGGTTTAACCCATTGTACCACTGAGGACTCTAAGGACTAACAATAGATGGATCATGGACAAGCACAAGGCTGCACACTCCTGCTTTGAGTAGCACTGAGCTAGATAAAGTGTAATTTTTTGTGTTCTAAAAAGACCTGTTCTATATTACAGGAAAGTCTAATACTCTACATTATTACCTACATCGGCTTGATCTCCTCAGTCATCTGCCTCTTCCTCTCTATTGTCACATTTCTCATTTGCCATTCCGTCCAGAACAACAACACATTTATTCACATACAGCTGTGCCTGTGTCTCTTCTTGGCTGACCTCCTCTACATATTTGGAATACAGAAAACAGACAACAAGGTATTTCAATGGTTGGTACTCTGTCCATCAGAGATTTCTCATGCTTCTAAGGTCCAATTATCATTACGGCCCCTGTTAGGCTTGGTTCTTATTAGTGATCCAAAAAACACAAATTTGGCTGCAAACTCTCTACCTGTGGGGTAACATCATTGAATTTTGTATGATTAATCCTGATGTATATGTGACAAAGGAGGGAACAGAGGTACTCCTGGTCAGTCGCAAGGCCGAACAGGGCATAGGGTTACAGCCTGTGTTGGAAGATGCAGGTTCGCAGCTTGGGTGTGATCTTGGACTCATCGCTGAGCCTGGAACCTCAGGTTTCAGAGGTGACCAGGGGAGCATTTGCACAGTTAAAACTTGTGCGCCAGCTGCGCCCGTACCTTGGGAAGTCTGACTTAGCCATGGTGGTCCACGCTCTGGTTACATCCCGCTTAGACTACTGCAACGCTTTCTACGTGGGGTTGCCTTTGAAGACTGCTCGGAAGCTTCAGCTAGTCCAACGCTCGGCAGCCATGATACTAACAGGAGCGGCACTCAGGGAGCACACAACTCCTCTATTGAGCCAGCTCCACTGGCTGCCAATTTGCTACCGGGCACAATTCAAAGTGCTGGCGTTGGCCTATAAAGCCTTAAACGGTTCTGGCCCAAGGTACCTATCCGAACGCATCTCCGCCTATGAACCCACGAGGGCTTTAAGATCTTCTGGGGAGGCCCTGCTCTCGATCCCGCCTGCAACTCAGGCACAGTTGGCGGGGACGAGGGACAGGGCCTTCTTGTGGTGGCCCCTCGGCTGTGGAACGCCCTACCCACAGACATCAGATTAGCTCCCTCATTAATGGCATTTCAGAAGAAAGTAAAAACCTGGTTATTTGAACAGGCGTTTGAATAGGCAGTGCAATGAATTACAATGAATTATAGGAAATCGGTACAACGGATGACGAGCTTGGATTATGATTTTAGTTATGAGACGCCAGTGAGTTGTTTATTGATGTTTACTGATGGTTATTGATGTTAATTGCTTATTGTATTATTGTGTTAATTGTCTTTTAAATGGCTGTACGTTGTTTGTATTGATTTTTTTGCCGATACTTGTTAACCGCTCTGAGTCGCCTAATTGGCTGAGAAGAGCGGTATACAAATAAAGTAAATAAATAAATAAATAAACTGTCATTATCTATACTATGGGTATGAAGAATATTCATGAATTTCTTGTCTTTATTAAGAAAAGATATCCTGACACTTGTCAAAAAGTTAGAGTTTCCGTAATAAAATCTTTGGCACAGAAAAAATATATATTTCCCACAAAATAACTGAGTTTGCAAAACAATGTTGTACCAAAAAGCGAATTTTCATTTTTAAAAAAGTCCTGAAAGCCACCCTGAGCCCCCCTTCAGGAGTTGAGAAGGATGGGGCAGAAATGCTGGAAATAATTAAATAAATAAATAAATAAATAAATAAATAAATAAATACAATCAAATCCCCATCAGAAATATTTATTTCTTTGTTTGTTTGTTTCATACATTTCTATCCCACCCTTCTCCCCACAAGGGGGACTCAGGGCGGCCTCACATAAGCATTGGAAGATGCTAACCAATATATATGCCATAAAAATTATAATTAAAACAGTAGAATAATTTTAAAAACATTATACAAATCATCAGTAAATTCAATTAACAATAATTTAACATGCCAATAAAACCGAAAACCAAGCCGGGAAAATCTGTATTGCAAAAAATCTGTATTGCTGGCTTCTTGTCAAACGTCTGGCCTCAGAGCCAGGTCTTCAGTTGTCTTCTAAAGGAAAGGAGGGAGGTGACCAACCTGATGTCCTTAGGGAGAGAGTTCCACAGACGGGGGGCCACTGCCAAGAAGGCCTTGTCTCTCGTCCCCACCAATTACATTGAGTCTTCTATGTGCTGAGTACATACTCAGCACATAGAAGATGGCTTTGAAAGGCAGCAGATCACAGGAGCTGTCTTCATAGACCTGTCAGCAGCCTATGATACTGTGAACCACCACCTCCTCCTGAGAAAAATGTATAATCACAAAGGACTACCACCTCACCCGCCTCATAGGAAACCTGCTACAAAACAGGAGCTTTTTTGTTGAGTTCCAGGGCCAGAGAAGCAGATGGCGGAAAGAAGAACAGCCTGCCTCAGGAGAGCGTGCTTCCTCCATCCATGTTCAACATCTACACAAATGACCAGCCACTGCCAGAAGGAACAGAGAGTTTCATCTATGCTGATGATCTGCCATTACTGCTCAAGCAGGGAGCTTTGAGATGGTAGAACAGAAGCTTTCCAAAGCTCTAGGTGCTCTTACTGCCTATTACAGGGAAAACCAGCTGATCCCCAACCCATCCAAAACACAGACATGTGCCTTTCATCTCAAGAACAGAGAAGCATCCCGAGCTTTGAAGATCACCTGGGAAGGAATCCCACTGGAGCATTGCAGCGCACCCAAATACCTGGGAGTCACTCTGGACCATGCTCTTACCTACAAAAGCACTGCCTGAACATCAAGCAAAAAGTGGGTGCTAGAAACAATATCATACGAAAGCTGACTGGCACAACCTGGGGATCACAACCAGACACAGTGAAGACATCTGCCCTTGCGCTATGCTACTCTGCTGCTGAGTATGCATGCCCAGTGTGGAACACATCTCACCACACTAAAACAGTGGATGTGGCTCTTAATGAGACATGCCACATTATCACGGGGTGTCTGCGCCCTACACCACTGGAGAAATTACACTGCTTAGCCGGTATTGCACCACCTGACATCCGCCGGGAAGTAGCAGCCAATAGTGAAAGGACCAAGGCAGAGACATCTCCAGCTCATCCCCTGTTTGGGTATCAGCCAGCACATCAACAACTTAAATCTAGAAATAGTTTTCTAAGATCTACAGAGACACTCGCTGGAACACCTCAGCAAGCGAGAGTCCAAAAGTGGCAGGCTCAAACCCAGAACCTCAACCAATGGCTGATACCAAATGAGAGACTCCCCCCTGGGTACACAGAGGACTGGGCGACTTGGAAGGCGCTGAACAGACTGCGCTCTGGCACCACGAGATGCAGAGCCAACTTCAAGAAATGGGGCTACAAAGTGGAATCCACGACATGCGAGTGTGGAGAAGAGCAAACCACTGACCACCTGCTGCAATGCAACCTGAGCCCTGCCACATGCACAATGGAGGACCTTCTTGCAGCAACACCAGAGGCACTCCAAGTGGCCAGATACTGGTCAAAGGACATTTAATCAACTACCAAACTCACAAACTTTGTATTTTGTCTGTTTGTTTGCTTTGTTCTGTTAGAAAATCTATATATATAAATCTGTTAGGTTGGTTCAACCGGACAGCAAAACTCCACAACCCCCCAACGAAACTGCACCAAAATTGCCATGCCCCAAGGACAACCCACTCGGTACAAACTAATCCACTCAGAATTGAAAACAACACAACAACACACAGATAAATCGCCAAAACAACTGAGCATGCGCACTGGAGCAAAGTCCCCAGCGCGCGCACACATGGCCGAACGGCCAACGCACCCTCCGCACTTCCCTCCCTCCCTCGCCCCGCCCAGCACGAACACGTCGCCGCCCACACGCACACACACACACAAACAACGCAACTTCCCCCGGCCCCCTTCCCTCCACCCCCTCCTTCATCTCCCCCCCGCTGCCTCCAAGCCCCGCTCTGCACACTCCAAGCCTCGCCGCGCCGCATCCCCTCCGGAAAGACACGCCCCCTCCCTTCGCCCCACCCCTTCCCTCCGTGACTTACTCCTTCCCTCCTCCCACCACCTCTGGAAAGACACGCCGGAAAGGAGTAAGTCACGGAGGAAAGGGTGGGGCGAAGGGAGGGGGCATGTCTTTCCGGAGGGGGAGGGAGGAGGGAAGGAGTGAGTCAGGGAGGGAAGGGGTGGGGGTGAAGGGAGGGGACGACTTTGAAGACACGCATCCTCCCTTCGCCCCACCCCTTTCCTCCGTGACTTACTCCTTTCCGGCGTGTCTTTCCAGAGGTGGTGGGAGGAGGGAAGGAGTAAGTCATGGAGGGAAATTCAATTAACAATAATTTAACATGCCAATAAAACCGAAAACCAAGCCGGGAAAATCTGTATTGCAAAAAATCTGTATTGCTGGCTTCTTGTCAAACGTCTGGCCTCAGAGCCAGGTCTTCAGTTGTCTTCTAAAGGAAAGGAGGGAGGTGACCAACCTGATGTCCTTAGGGAGAGAGTTCCACAGACGGGGGGCCACTGCCAAGAAGGCCTTGTCTCTCGTCCCCACCAATTACATTGAGTCTTCTATGTGCTGACTTTGAAGACACGCACCCTCCCTTCGCCCCACCCCTTTCCTCCGTGACTTACTCCTTTCCGGCGTGTCTTTCCAGAGGTGGTGGGAGGAGGGAAGGAGTAAGTCACGGAGGGAAGGGGTGGGGCGAAGGGAGGGGGCGTGTCTTTCCGGTGGGGATGCGGCGCGGCGAGGCTTGGAGTGTCCCTTTCAACTCTATTCTATGGATAGACACGCCCCCTCCCTTCCCCCACCCCTTCCCTCCCTGATTGACTCCTGGAAGGAAAGGGGTGGGGGGAAGGGAGGGGGCGTGTCTAACCAGAGAGGGAGGGAGGAGGGAAGGAGTGAGTCACGGAGGAAAGGGGTGGGGTGAAGGGAGGGGGCGTGTCTTCAAAGTCGCCCCCTCCCTTCTCCCCACCCCTTCCCTCCCTGACTCACTCCTTCCCTCCTCCCTCCCCGGAAAGACACGCCCCCTCCCTTCGCCCCACCCCTTCCCTCCGTGACCTTGAGCATGGGAGTTGTAGTTCACCTACATCCAGAGAGCACTGTGGACTCAAACAATGATGGATCTGGACCAAACTTGACACAAAAATTCCATATGCCTAAATATGTATGCAGATGGAGTTTGGAGGAAATAGACCTTGACATTTGGGATTTGTAGTTACTGGGATTTATAGTTTACTACAATTAAAGAGACAGAAATGGGGCAAATTTCCAACACAGAACCCCCATGACCAACAGAAAATACTCAAGTTTACACACAAGCATAAAGAAGGGTGAGGAAGGAGGGATGCCAGAGAGAGAAAGAGAGAGAGAGAGAGAAAGGGAAAGGAAGGAGTGTGAGAGAGAGAAAGAGGGAAAGAGAACGAGGGAAGGAAGGAAGAGAGGCCAGGCAGAGACTTCAAAACTCTTACTAAAGGCCACAGCAACGCGTGGCAGGGCACAGCTAGTGTAATATAATTTGACTGGTTGTCCTGACACGACCAAATAAAACCAATTGCGTTTGTGAGAGTGGTGGGATCTAGAGCAGGGCCTCTCCTGACAATCTTAAGCTCCGTGATGGTTCATAGCAGGAGATATGTTCAAACAGGTAAACTGGGCCAGAACCATTCAGGACTTTAAAGGTTAAAACCAGCACTTTGAATTGTATACATTCATTTTTACATGGAAGAATGAAAGAAGCAAAACTATCAACCAGAATCCTGGTGAGTAGTTACAAATATGTAACCTAGAGTTATAAAATAGTTACTTTATTCTTATTCCTCTATGGAATTTATTTTTCTTGGTGGCTGAAGTTTGGAATCACTCCACCAGTGGTCTTTTGTGTAACTCCAGTAGCCATTCAAAACCAACTTTTGATTCTTCTGTTTCTGCTCCAGATCCTGTGCTCTGTCATAGCTGGAATCCTGCACTATCTTTTCCTGGCTTGTTTTGTGTGGATGTTCTTGGAAGGTGTGCATCTCTACCTCATTGTCAGGAATCTGAAAGTTGTCAATTACAAGGGTGCCAGAAAGCAAATGAAGATATCTATGTACTTTTGTGGCTATGGGCTTCCTGCCGTGATAGTTGCCATTTCTGCAGCAACTTTCCCTGGGGGCTATGGAACTCGTAAACTGTAAGTATATGAAGCTTCTTACAGCCTCATTAGATGGGGGAAGAATTAGTGGCAAGCTCCACTTTGCTGCCCTTTAAACATGGAGGCCACCGGTTTCCATTACACGAAACACTGCTACTTCCAATGGGGCTCCATGCTTAAAGGGATGTCGAAGTGGAGCATGCAACCAAGGTGGCAACATGGGAGACTTCCTGTGTTGCCTTGGACAAATGGGGGAAAGCTGAATGGTTGACGCTTCCCCCGTGGGATCGTCCTGCCAGTAAGCTGGGCGATGAGAGTTGTGGGGTGATGGGTTCCTCACACACGCTGACAGCAGTCGCCGGATTCACCATGATGAGTGCCGATTCCAGTGGCCAGTGTGAAGAGGTTCTTAGTAAAAGACAGAAAATGTTATCACCAGTCCTGTAAATGTATTGGCTCAAAATGTATTGCTTGAAGCATCTGGGCTGTTTTGGACTAACAGCCACCAGAATCTCTGCATTTATCAAGCTAGATTTTTGTTCCAAATACAGAGTCTAGTCTAGTACATTATTGTGTTTTAACTTTTGTGTCAAGCATTTTAATATGTGCATGTTTTAATATATGCTTTTATGGTTGTGTTTTAATATGTTAATTTAGGGAGGTATTTAACTATGTTGTGCCCCACCTCAAGCTGAAAAGATAGGCAGGTAATAAATAAAAAATGTTGTTGTTGTTGTTATTATTATTATTATTATTATTATTATTATTATTATTGGTTTAAAAAACTGTGTCCACATGCCTCAGTAGGTTAATATCATCTGCTTTCTACTTCTGTTAATTTTTAATAAAGGCAAGAAATGCAGTCAGCCGTCCACATTCACTGGATTTGGATGGATACAACTCCCATGAAAGTGGAAAACCATGAATAAAGCAATTATTATTTTTAACCTGGGAAAACACCTCTCTAGGAAATTTTAAATCTCCCAGCGGGATTCTATGGTCAACTTCTGCTGGAAGATGAACACAAAATTGTGTTGGAGAACATAAAGATTCTTACACAGATAGTTTTTTTAAAAAATCTCTAATTCCTCCAGAATGACTGGAGGAAATTGATCATAGAACCTTTTCTCTAGCGATTCCTAGAGAAAATGGTTTAAATCAAACATGTCAATCATCACATTTGCAAAAGTCAAAACCACAAATGTGGAGGGATGACTGTACCTAGAAATATTGCTCTGCTTCAAAACCTAGAATCTGCTGTTGTTATTTTTAAAACTTGATACCAAGTGTTCTTCCAATCTACATTCAGAACAATTCCTGTCCTGTATTTTCACTTGACTTACTCCATATGAAAATTAATATAAGCCTATGTCAATTTTCTTGAATGTGAATACTAGACATATACACGGAAAGGAGTTGTGGACTTTTTGTAGATTTACTGTTGAAGGTATTTCTTTCCTCTTAGTTGCTGGCTTACATTTGAAAAAGGTTTTGTCTGGAGCTTCACGGGACCTGTCTGTGCCATAATTGCCGTGAGTATGCATTGGCACTCATTCTCAAACAGCAGCAAAAGGGAAGGACTTTAATAGCCTCTACTCTGAAAAGACACTATAAACCCCATAGAAATATTGCAGCATCAGATATATTACATTCCTTTGTGCTTGTCATGTCTTCACACTTTTCAGATTGGAAAAGATTTTTGGAAGCAACAAGTTCTTAATAACACAAGTGCAATTCAGACGTTCCATATTCTCCTAATCAGAGCTGCAAGTTTGCAGGGCAGGGAAGAAGAGCCCCTGCTAGGTGGCTAATCACCTTGCTGATTCCCTAATCACCTAGCCTTGCCAAACACCTTCCTGTTACATAACTGCCAAAGGGCCAAAGGGCTCTTTACAGCTTGAAAGCAGGATGGAAATCAGGTTCTCATTCACTGATCAATAAGATTCCCAAAAGTGTTGGATCTGAAATTTTGGTAGTAACAATCAGTTAATCTGATGTTTCTCTCAGGATGTCTTTGCTGCTAATTTTCAACATTGTACAAGATTTCCTTTTCTCTTTGCATAATAAAGAATTGCTTAGTTTACATTCAGATAAGAACTCTCCATATTCTGACTTCCCAAGTTTACTCTCAACATTTTGTAATTGTTGAAAATTAAGCCTTAATGGGAAGGGGGAAAGTGAATTACCGTAATAGTGTATTATGCAAAAATCAAATATGAAAAATACAATTATGAAGAGTTTTGTCTACCAGTGATTTCTTACTATCCATCATGGTATATCAATGGAATCCAAAAAAGCATGAAAGAAAACCCCTAAGTCTAATTGTTAGTCTCAAATAGAGTAGATCCGTTATTCATTTATTTGTCGTGTCAGGGCAACCAGTCAATTATATTACATTTCTAACAGAACAAAGCAAACAAACAGACAAAATACAAAATTTGTGAGTTTGGTAGTTGATTAAATGTCCTTTGACTAGTATCTGGCCACTTGGAGTGCTTCTCGTGTTGCTGCAAGAAGGTCCTCCATCGTGCATGTGGCAGGGCTCAGGTTGCATTGCAGCAGGTGGTCAGTGGTTTGCTCCTCTCCGCACTCGCATGTCGAGGATTCCACTTTGTAGCCCCATTTGTGAAGGTTAACTCTGCATCTTGTGGTGCCAGAGCGCAGTCTGTTCAGCGCCTTCCAAGTTACCCAGTCCTCTGTGTGCCCAGGGGGGAGTCTCTCATTTGGTATCAGCCATTGGTTGAGGTTCTGGGTTTGAGCCTGCCACTTTTGGACTCTCGCTTGCTGAGGTGTTCCAGCGAGTGTCTCTGTAGATCTTAGAAAACTATTTTTAGATTTAAGTCATTGATGTGCTGGCTGATACCCAAACAGGGGATGAGCTGGAGATGTCTCTGCCTTGGTCCTTTCACTATTGGCTGCTACTTCCCGGTGGATGAGCAGATCCGTTGAGACAGGGAATTAACATATGTACTGAGTTATCAGTTTTCCATTGGTTAATGGGGTCTACTCTGAATGCAATTTACAATTGGTTTGATATCAAGGTCTCCTAATAACATTTCGTGTTCCCCAGTGGTTAACCATCTGGGGAAAAGTACCACTAAAAGCCATTCTAGATTCAAAGAAATGCACAGTATTATCATGGGTCTTGTATTTGCAAGTTCCAAGTAAAATACATTAATTGAAAATTCCACCTCAACATTGACAAGTACTTGATAAGTCAATGTTTGTAAATGCCATTGATTCAATGGATATCATTGATTATTAATGTTATTGAGTTAATGACCTATTCTCACAAATGTCTTCAGAATATTGGTGTTTTCTGATGATTTCATACTTATTTGTGTATGAAACAATTAAGACTTATAAAGAAAAAAGTTTAATACCTACCTTAGTCTTATTATCAATATACGATCATGAAAATAAAAGAAATGAGGTGACATTATTATTGATGTTGGTATTTTGCTGAATTGAAGACTAGAACAAGGGGAAATAAGAGAAAAAGAAATTGACATATGCAGCATTCTATTTTTATACTGATATGAGTTAGGAGCTCCCAGTGGCACAGCAGGTTAAACTGCTGAGCTGCTGAACTTGCTGACCAGAAGGTCAGTGGTTTGAATCTGGGAAGCACCGCTTTGGCAGGAAGGTAATTGCACTCCATGTAGTCGTGCGGACATCTATGGACAACCCCAGCTCTTTATCTTGACTATGAGTTAGGAACTATTATGTCAGTAACACTAGAAAATCTGTGAAGTTGGACCTTGCCTTTCTGAATGATGAAGAATCTGTCACCCCACAAAAGTTGGATCAGGTTAACAGTTTATTCCATAATTTCAACTGGAATATCTTTTATCATTTTTTAAATTGGCTTTTTTAATTCTTTAGATCAACTTGGTACTTCTCTGCCTGATTCTGACAAATTTGTATCAAAAATTTGCATCTCTCAATAAAGAAGTATCCACCTTCAGAAATACCAGGTAAGTTGAACTACAAAGCAAGATGTGCAAAAATCAAAGTGGCCAGTTGCTACTGTTTGAAAAAAAAAGCTGAATGGCTGGCATCAAGGTGGTTGAAACTTTCAGAGTTGTTTCACTCCTACAGCTTAGCTCTAGAAAACATTGAATAATAGTTAGAAGATAAATCACAGAGTAATCTAAGGGCCCTTCTACACATGCTGTAAAACCCAGAAGTAACCAGGTTAAAAGGGCGGCCGAGGGGTAATGGGGTGTCTAAATGATGTTTGGCCAAAGTGCAGGAAGAATCGGGTTAAGAGCTAAAAGGCACATGTTAAAAAGGTGTGCTTAAAAACCCGATTCTGCCCGAAAAAGTGTACCTTTGCATGACTATCCCTGCAGTCATGCAAAACATGACCTTTCCTTCCCCCCCCCCCCCCCCCCCCCCCCCCATTGTAGACTGCTCCAGCACACGTGCACTTTCTAAAAGCCCCTAATAGCTAATCATCTGATTGGTCTGTCAAACAGACACACGGGTTGTTCAAGGAAATATTTTTTTTAATTTCCCTCTGTTTTCCACTGGACCCCATAATTGCACATGCAAATCTCTTTATGTTTATATTAAGATATTCAAACGTGCGCTCATGAAGATCAATGCATAACAGAGTGATATATATATATATATATAGAGAGAGAGAGAGAGAGAGAGAGAGAGAGAGGGAAACTTCTGCTGGATGTCCTTCATCTGCCCTCCATCTCGACCTGGGGGACCATTTTCTAGGACTAACAGGTCTGTGTGTTGACCTGCTGTCAGGTCCCAGGATTTTTTGACTCAGTTCTAAAATGTGGATATTGGCATTGTCTGGAAGCACCCTGAGAATAATACATGAACAGTATTTCCACCCTGGAGAAAAACCTGGTCAAAGGCAACAACCTCTAGGTCACTTGTGTCAAATGCAAGGCCTGCAGGCTGAATCCAGCCCTCCATGTCATTTTATGTGGCCCTCTGGCTATTGGACTACAGCTCCTGTATTCCTCATCATTAGACATCATGACTAGAGTTGATGGGAGTTGTGATACAGTAACATTTGGAAAGCAGCAGTTTGTTCTCTTTTATCAAGACAGTGGGGTTTGAATTTAGGTGCAAGGCTTGTGGAACTGATATCTGACTTTCAAATGTCCTTTAACCTTTCTTCAACCTCAGAGCCACAAATGCTATTGCCGTGCCAATCCCATTATTCACAGTCTGCATGGTGGATAATAAAAAATGATGAGAGTTCAGTGACATCTGGGGACCCAAACTGGGTAAAAACACAAAAGCACTGACTACAATGTTAGTTATATATAGTTGGCCCTCTGTATCCACAGATTCCTCATCCATAGATTCAGTGGCCCATTGAAGGCAACCACAAAGCTGATGTGGCCCTCCATTAAAATGAGCTTGACACCCCTTCTCTGGGTATGTTTGGGCATAGAATGCAATTCAAAGGAAGCAATGAATAATTTTACTAGTTTTGTTCCCACTGTGAAAAAGTCTGAAGAATGTGCAGGTTTTGAAGACAATTTGTAGTGATTTGTGTATAAAACCATTCCCAAACTGTGGATGTATAATTACAGAGATCATTATCAAATATGAAGTAGTCTTATATTGACTCAAACATAGATTCTACTTTCCTGTAGTACTGATTGCCACCCCGTTGCTTTTCTTTATCGTAGGGCACTGATACTTAAGGCTTTAGCCCATGTGTTCATCCTGGGTGTGTCGTGGTGCCTAGGTCTCTTCCTGTATGGTCCACTGGCTACTGTTATGGCTTACCTGTTCACAATCACCAATAGTGTTCAGGGGATCGTCATCTTTCTTGTTCACTGCTTGTTCAACAAAAAGGTGATGTATGAAACATGAGACAAGTGCATTTAAAGCAGGAACATGCATTATAACATGAGGTTATAATTTACAACATAAGATGGAGAGAAGTTGCCAAGGTAGACTCCGTAGCTTTTGGTGTGCCCCTGATGAAAAGACAGCATTGTCCATGAGGGAGACACATTATGGATTAAATAATAAATCAATCTCCCAAGTTATTTACTCAAAAGAAACAGGGGGTGTATCACATAGTAGAATCAATGCAGGTTTGTACCACTTTAATTGGCATGGCCCAATGCTATCATGGAATCATGGAATTTGTAGTTTTACAAGATCATTAACCATTTCTATTGAAGGATGCTGGTGCCTCACCAGACGATGGCTACCATGATTCCATAGGATTGAGCCATGACAGTTAAAGTGATGTCAAACTGCATTAAGAGATGTGCCTAAAGTGAGAAAACTTGCACGTTTTGCCAATAGATTAGTGTCTTGTTTGGTAGCAGCACAGATCTCCATCACTCCATGTTGACTGGCTTTTAAGATGTTTTTAAAGGTCAAATGGGGAGTTAAAGCATAGTTACATCATTGCAGCTATGTGTGTGAAGTAGGATTGTGACCATAAGCAGTGGCAGAGGAAAGGTATAGAACAGAAATGTGTGGAATACAAGGAAATAGGAAATGATAGAAATGGAAAGAAATTTGACAAGAATCAATATTGGGGAAATGCTGACAGGGGATAGGGAAAAGGCAGAACTACTTAATACCTTCTTTGCTTCAGTCTTCTCACAAAAAGAAAGCCATCCTCAGCCTCAGCAACATGGATTGGACAAAGGATTAGGAGAAATCCAACCCCAAATAGGGAAACAAGTTGTCAAGGAATACCTGGTCACTCTAAACAAATTAAAGTTCCCAGGGCCAGATCTGCTACATCCAAGAATATTGAAGGAACTAGTGGAAGTAATTTTGGAACCATTGGCAATCATCTTTGAGATTTCTTGGAGAATGGGAGAAGTCCCAGTAGATTGGAGGAGGGCAAATATGGTCCCTATCTTCAAGAAGGGAAAAAAGGATGACCCAAACAATTACCATCCAGTCAGCCTCACGTCGATACCAGGCAAGATTCTGGAAAAGATAATTAAGGAAGTGGTCTGCAAATACTTAGAAACTAATGTGATAATCACTAATTGTCAACATGGATCTATCAAAAACAAGTAATGCCAGATTAATCTGATTTCTTTTTTCGATAGTTACAAGCTGGGTAGATGCAGGAAATGCTGTGGATGTAGCGTATCTGGATTTCAGTAAGGCCTTCAACAAGGTCCCCCATGACCTTCTGAGAAACAAACTAGTCAAATGTGGGCTAGGCAAAACTATGGTTAGGTGGATCTGTAATTGGTTAAGTGAATGAACCCAGACGGTGGTCACCAATGCTTCCTCTTCATCCTGGAAAGGAGTGATGAGTGGAGTGCCAAAAGCAGGGTTCTGTCCTGGGCTTGGTCCTGTTCAACATTTTTATTATTGACTTAGATGAAGGGTTAGAAGGCAAGATCATGAAGTTTGCAGATGACATCAAATTGAGAGGGATAGCTAATACCCCAGAGGACAGGAGCAGAATTCAGAACAATCTTAACAGATTAGAGAGATGGTCCAAAACTAACAAAAATGAAGTTCAGCAGGGACTAATGCAAGATACATCACTTAGGCAGAAAAAAATGAAATGCAAAGATACAAAATGGGGGACACTTGGCTCTACAGCAGCAGGGGTGAAAAAGATCTCGGAGTCCTCGCGGACAGGAAGGTGAACATGAGCCAACAATGTGATGTGGCGGCTTAAAAAGCCAATGGGATTTTGGCCTGCATAAATAGAAGTATAATGTCAAGATCCAGGGAAGTCATGCTACCCCTCTATTCTGCCTTGGTCAGACCACATCTGGAATCACACTGTGTCCAATTCTGGGGGCAGCAATTAAGGGACATGTTGAACTGGAATGTGTCCAGAGGAGGATGACTAAAATGATCAAGGGTCTGGAGAACAAGCCCTATGACAAATGTCTTAAAGAGCTGGGCATGTTTAGGCTGCAGAAAACAAGGTTGAGAGGATACATGGTGGAAGAACGTCCTAACTGTGAGAGCTGTTCAGCAGTGGAACTCTCTGCTCCGGATTGTGATGGAGGCTACTTCTTTGGAGGCTTTTAAGCAGAGGCTGGATGGCCATCTGTCAGGAGTGCTTTGATTTTCCTGCTTTTTAGCTGGCCCACGAGGTCTCTTCCAACTCTATGATTATATGATTCAATATAGTGTGGACTGGAGAAAAGTTACACTAACATGTAGGTGAGAGAGGCATATATACAAGAAAGCAGGTTCTGTGGTAAAAGAGAGACAGCTTTTATTAGTGATTTTGTATTTTGAATCTTCAGGTAAGAGAAACATACCTGCGCTGGATTTGCTGTGGCAAAAAAATCAAGCCTCCTGTTTCTGAAATGACTCTGTCTTCTGTTCCTGTTGCCAATCCTATGGTAAGCCAGTTGCATGTTGCAATTTTTTAATCAAATTTCCAGTGTCAGTTCCTAATATGGAAGTTGTCCAGTATTTTTAAACATCTTTTCAGGGTGAGATTTACTTCATATTTGAACGTCATAGCACAAATGCCATCTTTACACAGATTGCACAGAGGAGGAGATAGACTGGTGCAGCCAGATGACCTTAGTGCACTGACTTGTATTTTTGTGTGTGTGTTTGGAGTCATCTTGTTTTATGTTAGGTTTTCATGTTTTGTAAGACATTGAATTTTGTCGTGAATATATTGGAAACCTCCTTGAGTCCCTTCAGGGGTGAGAAAAGTGGTATATAAATGAGGGAAATAAATAAATAAATCTTCTCCTCTTTCTGATTCAGCAATGAAATAGACCAGAATAACCAAAATATTCATCAACTACCTTGTGAACAACACAAACTTTCTAATATACCCATTTCCGTGTTATTAGCAAACAAAGGGGCCAGCAGAATTGCGGCCAGCTATTTTTTTGTTTGTGGCCAGCTATTTTCTTATTTCTGTATAAACTGCAAAGATGTCTTCTGCATGAATATGCAAATGACTCCTATGGGTGCTGTTGGAAGGCATCCAGCTACAGGAAAATACCTGGACATTTTCTCATTGATCTCTCTGATCTCTGACCTCTGATAACAAGAAAATAGCCATGTTGTGGAGTGACCTCTTCGGCTTTCAAGTGATTTTTTTGGTACATCGGAAAAGGTAGCTACAGAGACTGGAAGTATGATGCATACATATCTCCTATTCAGGAGTCCAGCTAATAAGCCATGAAAAGATTAAAACACTGCTTTGGTCAAGAGTTTGACACTAAAGAATTCAACTAAGCAACTCAAACCTGAAATCATAATAAAATAATTTAAGACTTGTGTCTTATAAACTTTGTGAAAGTATTTTACAGATTCAGTATTTCATGGCAAGTTCTGTAACTGACAAATTGAGGCATGTGGAGTTGAATACTGGTGTAGTTCTGATTTGATTAGAGCTTCATCATATGGCTGTTTTCATTAAATATTGACAGTGTCTTGCTATCTTCTGTATCTATAGAGTCAGTTGATAGAACTTTACGTTAAAGCCATATAGTCTCTACCACTGGAGTTCTATGTTGCAAACATTAAGGGATATTGTATTGTCAAAGGCTTTCATGACCAGAATCACTGGATTGCTGTAAGTTTTTCAGGCTGTATGGCCATGTTCCAGAAGCATTCTCTCCTGACGTTTTACCTGCATCTATGGCAGGCATCATCAGAGGTTGTGAGGTCTAGGAAACTAGGAAAATGGGGTTTATATATCTGTGGAATGTCCAGAGTGGGAGAAAGAACTCTTGTCTGTTGGAAGTAGGTGTGAATGTTTCAATTGGCCACCTTGATTAGAATTTAATTTAGGGATATATTTTCTTTTGCAGAAATGTCAACAAATCAGTAGTTCAACGCAGCAACAGTCGGTGGAATGGGGCAGCAGACCTTGATGCATTTTTTCTCCACATCATTCATCTCATGGCCAAATAGAACAGAGCGAAACTGGGCCGACTTTTCATATATTGGCAGTGTTCACCCCCCCCCCCCCCGCCCACATGCCTCATTGTACTCTAAAGGAGTTTCAACTAACAAATCACAGAGTGGTTTTCAAGCATTCCCTATCAATATGGGCATTTCCCCTTTAATTTAAAAATAGTGGAAAGTAGGTCTTCTTTTTCTCCAGCATTGCAAATCAGGTGGCCCTCCATACATTGAATGTAGCTAATAACTACCTCCTTCCCTTCAACAAAGAATATATTTATAAGAATCTAAATCCAGTTGCATTGCATGTGTATTTAAGGAAAATCTTAAAATGGGTGATGCATAGTTATGGTGAAATGAAAGGCATGGGGCTGTCTATTTTTATTTCAGAGGTCCGTTCCTTCAATCTATTGAGCAATTTAGCAACTCAGCCAGTCAATTCTGGTTTGTCCTGGGCCAACATGCCATTTGTGAGTTTACTTGGAGATATATCATTTTCCACTCCACTCTAAATTGCTGCAAACATTCAAACCCACATTCCAGCATATAGCACCATAACAACTGAACTTATCAGTACCTGATTTTATCTGTTTCCAAATGTTAAGCAAAGACCACCAGGAAATTTGGGAAATCTGGGAGTAGGACTAAGGAAAAATTATACCTAAAACTCTGCTGGTCAGAGTTTGTAGGGCAGAGAAGAATGTACCAACAGTATGATTCAGTACAAGCAACTTCCTATGTTCTTCCTATATTATATAAGTCACTTTTGAAGGATGTCATCATTCAGTTTTTTAGAATGGGATACAAAGCAGAAGGGGGAAAGACCAAAATGCAAGTAGTAGGGATAGTCTTTTTTTCTACTTGCACTCTTGTTTAGATCAAAATGTGATTATGTGCTAAAAGTACCTATTTTTTTATTATTTTTCCCAGTGTGGAACTATTAAGATGTTTTAGACTTGAAATCCTGTCATCATGGCAATGCCTTCTGCTGGAGGATAGTTAGGATTTTGGTCCAATTCATCTGAATTAGTAAGCTTGCCATATAACTCTCCCATTCTGCATAGTAAATAGTTATTGCAAATGATAGCAAGGCATAAAAATATACCTCTGCTTTTTCACAACTTAAATTGAAGCAGTTAACATCTTGTTTCATGAAATATGATATAAATCTTATTCACCACAATCACAACTCACTTGTAAGGAGCCTGCGGTGGTGCAATGGGTTAAACCCTTGTGCTAGCAGGACTGAAGACCAACAGGTCAGAGGTTTGAATCTGGGGACAGCGCGGATGAGCTCTCTCTGTCAGCTCCAGCTCCCCATGCAGGGATATGAGAGAAACCTCCCACAAGGATGGCAAAACACCAAAACATTCAGGCACCCCCTGGGCATGTCCTTACAAACAGCCAATTCTCTCACACAAGAAGCGACTTGCAGTTTCTCAAGTTGCTCCTAGCACAAACCCCCCCCCCCTCAGTTGTACAGTCTTTGCACCAGTTGATAGTCTCTTTCTTCTGACTACATATCTCACCCAAACCGCAGAGGAGAGGGAAAACAGTTTTGCCCTCTCCTCTGGTGCCCAATATAGCAATTTTCATGTTAAAGAACAATAGGAAATTGAGTGGGGAGGTATCTAGCTTTTTTACTGTTGCTGGATGTGTGGGTACAGATTCTTCAGGTCTGGCTACAGGGTAAGAGCCATTACGAGATAGCCCAGATATCTGTCTATGCTCAAAAATTGAACAGTTTTTCACTCTCTGGCCTAGGAAAATAAAGATTAGCCAAGAAAGGCTTCTTTTGGTCAAATCTTTTAGGCAGCATTTCTACTAAACTCCATTATTCAGTATTATGTTTGGTTAAACTTCACGAGAAATTGAAATGCTAAATACCTTCCCCAGATAAGGTTCTACCTCTCTGGGCAACTAGACCTGTAGTTGGCCAAAAAATGCATTTTAGAAAGGGAATGATGCTGGTAGAAAATGTCACTTTTGTGGCAAGAGTAATTGACTCTTAAGAAAGACTTCTGTAATGCTTTTTCTTAAGTGGGTACTTGTCTTTGCTAACCCATGTATCCTGCCTCATGAAGTCCAGGTAGACACACTATGAAAAAGTTCCTTTGTTTTAGAGAAATTATGATGTCATACTTGGGCCTGAGATGGTTTAAAATGAATTCCAAAATCATAGCAATCTGTTCTTGAGTAATATCTATGGGAATGCAAAAATTGAGCTACCTGCTGCCTTCTGGAAGGCACTTGCTAAGTTGAAATCACTCTTTAATACCCCAAAATCCATTATTTTGGCCAGATAATTGCATTAGTTTATTTTCTTTTACCGACTCTGAGCTCCGGCATAGAAAACCTTAGTTATAGCCTTCATTTTCCTGCACTGCCCCAATCAAAAGGGATCCCTAGCTTCTCACAAGTTCAATGTGACCAAGTAGAGATAATCATTCAATCTCTTCAATCTATTTTTTGGGAAAGACTTCCCCTGCACATTGTAGTTCTAGGAACTACTCTTTCTCTTGTATATGTTAGGGATTATGTTGTCCTCATTTGTGAACCTCTTTTTCTCATTTCTCCTTAAATAACAATTTCTACAGCATCAAGCTGTTGTTAATTCCAAACCCTCACAACTTGGTTAGTGTGCTATTTCACCTCACTTTGTCATTTGTGAAGTTGTATCATAATATTTCCAATGAAACTGTTATATATATCTTGATTACTATTTGATCAATGAATTTTTCCCCTTTTAGAGTGAATACAACTTATCTGCTTTACTTGAAAAGTTACAAGATCCTTGATAGGCATACTTACTTCGAGTATATAATATTCTGTTCACATGTTCTGAGGGCAGACCTGGTAACAGAGCTGGGCGAATCTCTGCTCATACCTAACTCTTCATCAATGGGGAAATGGCTGTGTTGTGTATGTTTGGGTGCATGCAGTTGCATTGCTTAAAAGATTTAAGACACAGTTACGTTGCCCAATGCAGCCCAACAGTCAGTTCTTAGAATTTGCTTGAACTGAGTTATTCATTCTTACAATGAACTATGAAATGAGTCACCACATTATTCTCATTAATGATAGGCTACTGTACAAACAATAATTTTGAGAAAATTTATTAATTGATTTCTTGCAGACAAATCAGCTCAGAAACACTGCTACTAATGTCTTTGACATCACTGGGCAGAACACTATTTTTAAAAGAATATCACTAAAGTTGCTCCTATTAGCTCAAAATCATTAGTAAAACGTCAAAATAAATCTGAGTAAGTTGATTAGCTGAATAATTTTAACACTTGATGTTGCTTGAAGTTGTTCTAGACTGCCTTTGCCAATCCAACTTGGTTATTTGCCCTGTCAAAAATGCTGTAGTATTGTCTTATGAACACATCGCCTAAGATCCAGAGGTCTCCAGATGTGACTTGGAAACCACTGTGACATTCTCCTTGTGACTGCTAAAAGAAAGGAAAAGAGAACCATTAGCTGCAGCAGACCACATATATTATCAACTTTAAAAATCAATTTTGGTTAAAAATGGTTACCATAACATCCACACAAAAGTTATTTCCCTTTAACAAACACCTGTAAAAGTAGGTTGTGTGCAACATTCTCTACATTCAGTTTAATTCTTTTGGTACTATGACAGGCCTTTGCTGGTGGGTTTTCTCAAAGGGGCATTTGGCTCAAATGTGACTTCTAAGAAGGTTTACAGCTGAAGACTTTTTAATTTTGTTTATTATAGGAATGGTTTCCTTTTTAAAGCCCTGTACTACAAATTGTACTTTATTTACATTCTTGCCTTCTTGTGTTAATAATGATTACTACCATAATTATTATTTTTGTACTGTCAACAACCATAACCTAGATATTGTTTATTCTTTTTATTGTTGTAGGCCACCTTGAATTATTTTGTGTGATGTAAATTTTGGAAGAGGAATAAAATATGATGTATATGCTTAATGAAAGTCAAGCTCTACTCCTGGGAGGTCTGACAGCAATGCGTTTCATATGCACACTGAGTCATGGAGTATGTCGATAGAGATGATATTGTGAGCTGTTTTTGGAAGCCATGCCATAGTGACACCTCTGGTTGAATAGACCCACTGAATATGTAGGGTTTCACATGAGTGGAAACTCACAATGGAAGGAGAGTGCCTCTTTTAGTTGGAACCAAATGGTTAAAATACACATATTACACACAATGTAATTGTTTAAAGCATTAGTGATACTTTTTAGTCTGTACTGATTTTAATAATTTATGAATAACACTGCAACTCAGTATTGGAGAGAGGAGAGAGAGGATATAAGCAGTCATCCTCCTCCTTCTCATATTTGTAGGAGAGATCCGCTATGGAGTCTGGTTGCTCCAACGCCAGTGGAATGCAATTCCAGTGCAGTTTTCAAGAACTATCCAAGGTGCTGACAACAGGCTTTAGCCCTGAAATAACCCCTTTAATCCAGACTGAAAACAGGAGTAGATTCAACATCCCAATTACATCAGAGCCATTAAATAGCCATAATTATGAGATTGATTCTGTAATGTCATCATATTATGTCTATTGTTACCAATTCCATGATTGCATACAAAAAGGCATTATTAGCAAGCATCATCAGGCTTAGCACATCAATGACAAAGATATTAGAATGCTGGGACTATTAGTAGTGTTACATTAGATTTTGTTTATCCTCCCATTTTAATAGTTATTGACTGTATGTATATTATGAGGTTATATACAACATTGAAACAAAGCTAATCTGCCCACTGTCATACTTTTATTATATTGAATATGTGCAACGTATGTCTAGGTTGATCTTATTGTTGCATCTTGGTTATTATATCCCTCCTTTTCTATATGAAGGAATAAAGGATACTTCCCCCCCCCCCCCAAATTATACAACTGGTCATACTGGCTGGAAATTCTGGAATATAAAGCCACAAAAACCAAGTAGCCAAGTGGCCAAAAGGTAAAACCCTATCACTACCACTACCACTACCAATATCTCTTTCTGTTGGGCAAGCTATAGTCCAACATTACCTGGAGATGTACAGCTTTCCCACACTGATTTTACATGGCACCCTGCTTAGAGCAGGCAGGGGACAGGGTGCCATGTTATCTTTTAAAATCTTATTGTTATTGCATAGTTACAACTGATGTGTTGGGAGAAGAGCAGTGTGTGTTTGTTGCGTTTCATAGACCTCTCTAGATTGTGTCATCCTTACAAAGAGGAACTGGTGGGTGAGAGTGATTTTTTTATTTCCACATTCCGCCTTCTTAGTAAACGCTTGCATGCTGCCTAGAGTCAGATGACACCATACAGAAAGAAAGTGTGAGAATTTTAACTTAGCAGTTACATGCAGCATACTCCTGCATGCTATTTGGTTGCTCTTGTTTGCAGCAGGGACAGCTAAACAAGCACAACATCTGGACAAGGGTTCAGCTTCCTCTTTGTTTATTTCCAACTAAATTACTAAAGGAAACTCAAACAAATTCTAGATCTCTAGTTTATTAGGCTAGAAATGAATCAGAGCAGAAGTTGTACCCATGCTCAGATTACAACCTAAACAAATCATGAAGCAAAACCCTGTGCTTGTATAGCTTTTCTTACTACAAGCAGGTCATACAAATAGAAAATGCCAGTTCTTGCAGGATTCTGGCTTATTGTGTTGCTTGAACCCATCAATCGCTTGACCCTCAAGTGCTAGGTGTTTAATATAATGTGTGATTTAAAAAACCCTGATGTAAATTTTGTTCTCTGGTAGAGCAAATAGCTTTTAAAAACGACATCCAAGAAATAGCCAGCACAAATATATAAAATGATTATCATTATCCTTTGATGGGAATTAGATTGTTCATCAACAGAAAAGAGTTTTTGAATTTATCCCGCCACCCTAATAAAACAGATATCAAATACGACTTGTTTTGGTCTACCTCTGAATAACTTACTAAGAGGATGCCAGTCAGTATTTCTTCCCACATAAAATTTCCATTCCACTGTTTTTGAACATATGTGTTGATAATTAATTGCAATTTTAGATGAAGATCCTATTGCTCTGTGTAACTTTGATGGAGAAGGGCCGACAATAGCTTGATGTTTATATGTTTTTATTTGTAAATTTATATATGATTATTGCTTTTTATTTGATTGTGTGTGGCATTGAATATTGCCATATTGTAAGCAACTCTGAGTGGTTTCACCCCTTGGGGTGAACGAGAGCAGGATATAGAAATAGTAAATAAAGAAATTGGTGGCAGGGGAAAGTTATCTACAGATGCTGCAGTGACGGGGTGTGTTTGTGTTGTGGTGGGCAACAGTGGAGTCTTCTATAAAGTGATTAAACTATCTTGTAATTGCTAATCTGCTTAGGGACTATCAAGGCAGCTTTCTCTCCAGATGGGAACAGTTTTCCCGATTGTCCCTCTGCCTCCACTATGAACCAGTTGGAAAAAAAATGAGTTATGACTGCCAAAAAGACACTTACATGTCAGTAACCAACAAGATCCTACCCATATCTACATAGAATACTTACAAATCCTAGGATGTGGGTGACAATAAAACTGGTAACAGACTACTGTAATTCAGTAATCTGGATACACCTTATATCTAAGGTAAGGAGAACAATTTCACATTTATTGTTACCTCTAGAGTATAGGCAGCTGGAGTCAGAGGAAACTGAATTCCGTTGATCACGAAAACAACATCAGGCATATTGCCAAGGTTGCCACAGTTGATGTCATACTGCAAGACATTAAAAATAGCAGCTTTCTGTTCTCATCACAAAGGAACTAAAGTAGCAAATCCTTAATGGATAAGAAATGCAGTCCCCCCCCCCCCCAATCAAACAGGGAATCTCATGACAGCAGAACTTGTGTAATATCTTTAGTATTCTGGAATTAATTAGGATAGCCATCCTGGTTAACTGAAGAGATATTGCTCTCTGAGATAGAGCAACAATCCAATGACCAATGCCCAGAAAAGATGCAGTACATAGTTCTCAAGTTAAGTTAAGTGATTGAGGAAACTGTAGCATAATCATCATACATCTCGCCTTTGAATTAACACTTAAGCATCTTACTGCTAATCTTGGCTAGAGAAAACCCATTGAAACAATTAAATCTGCATTGATGTTGATTTATCATTCAACATTCGATTCAAAGGCTTTGCTCCAGTCAGGATGGACATTTCATTTTCTGAACTTTCAATTTATTTATTATTTATTTATTTCCTATATTTATACTCCACCCTTCTCACCCCCGAGGGGGGACTCAGGGCGGCCTCACAAACACCATACAGTGTCATCATAATAAAACAATCAACAATACATTAAAATATTTAAAATATTAAACAATAATGAAAACAATTGATTAACACACACCTATTAAAATCAGAGTCTAAAATCCAGTCCGGGTCAAATCATTGCCATAAGTGTTAAAATCTTTTTTTACTTGCTTTTACTTGTTAAAATCTTCTTTACTTGTCAATGACACTACGAAGCAGCTGCTTAAAGCTGCCTTTTCATTTAGTTCAATGGTATGGCAAGCCCGGTATCCAGCATAGGGATGGAAAGAAGATGCAAGCATATTCAAAAAAGTGTTTCTTAAGTATTGGGAAACTCTGATTAGGAGACTCCTAGACTGATGTTAATCTTCATGTTTTCTTCACACATGGATTTTGCATAGAATAAGTCACCAACTACATTATTTTCCATTAAACAAATGTTTTCTATGCCAAAATATTGCATGCAATGTTTATCGCCTAGATCCTGAACCATGAACAGTCTTTGGAAATTACTTATTTCTCCCAGTTAGAAGACATTTTCGGAATTGGAAAAGAATGATTCAAATCAGCCACTGCCTCAGTTAAAAAGAATTGTTGTTGATAATGGACAGGTACATCTCTAATCCAGTGTGATGTTTGGATCTGAGAAACACTTCCATGGCATATAAATAAAAATCTAAAGACGAGCTTCACATCTTATCCGGACCCCACACAGAAAGCCAATTTACCTAATACCAAATAGCATGTTAACCCTTTGATGTGTGACCTAAGTCTGAATTTGGTGCTATTGCTATACACATATCCTGTGTAGTAGGAAGTTGTTTGGAGGAAAGGCTTATACAGCTACCAGTAAAACTATTCCAAAGAAAGAGAACAGAATAAAATAGTATAAGTAAAGTCTCACTGCAAAGTGTAGCCCTCCAACACTTCTGCTTGTAGAAAAGGGATATTCAGAAAGCACAAATTCAACACAAGGGAAATCCTTGTATTGCATTTATTAAAACATGAAAATGCGGGGGTCAATGTAATTATTTCTCTCATGTAGATTTTTTCTCATCAGTTGGAAATAACATGCAATTTAATCAGAACCTCATGCCTTCCAGATGTTTTGAATTGAACATTGATTATCTTGGCAGACGTTTATGGAAGATGAAGTCCAAAATATCTGGAGGACACCAGATTGGGACAATTGTATGCAGTGGATAATTTTCACATTGTCAGAACTGTGGAGGCAGATTTCTGTAAGGTTTATATTACCACCAATTACTAAATTCTAAAACCAGGGTTAGGCCCATGTTAGGAGTTGTTTCCATTAGGTGCCAGATTTGTCCAGCCAAAACGTTGCTTGAGACTTTACAAATGAATTGACTATAGTGTGTGAACAAAGAAATGAAAGTGATCAAGATGACTTGGTTCTCTTCAACTACTGTGAAAAGGAACCGGCAAATTGTAAAGGATTTTTCTTACCTGACCATATTGTCCTGGAGTGGCTCCAATGGCATTCTGGAGGTTGCTTATGTCAGATGGTGAGCCAGCCAAGAGGGAAGTACCTGTGTCAACAATGGCTTGGCACCCACCACTGCAAGCAATTGCTTGGCCATTCACTAAAATACTGAGAAATTGGAAATCATAAAATTATGTCATGCATTTGAAACAAGATGGTAATAGTGTATTAAGACCAGCTATCTGTACTCAATAGAAAGCCACCCATTGCCTTTCTGGGCCTACCGTTTCAGAGTAATGTTTCCAGCTGTGTTATTAATCAGTGTTAACAGAGACTTGTTCTGAATATTAAGTAATAAAAGATATGATTCATAGGTTATACAAATTTAACGTCAGAGACCTGTCTTTTTCCAATGTCTAAAGCACCACGGATCTTTATAACACTAAAGCCAAAACATAACATAATGTTTTGCACAGATGGAAGTCTGCTGCATCTCCCATCTTCTCTCCATACTTCTATGACCCTCACCTGTTGCAGAGCAAAAGACTATATGAGTATTGGTAAGTGAGGAAGAAAAAGAAAGACTAGCATACAACACTAGATAAAAAGGACTGAGATTGGATAAGACAAAAAGGAAATGGAAAGATAGAATACTGGGAGGGGGTACAGTGAATTTCTAAATCTCTTGAAATAATATTTCAGGTTGTAAAAAAATAAGTATAGCTTTCCTAACAGCTAAGGTGTAGGTTAACATTGCTTTGGAATAGGGCTGTGCACACATCTGTTTTCCAAATGGGCTCCAGGTGATCTGGCAACCGAAAATGTGGAATTTAGTTTGCCAGATCACCTGTAACACCATGGATGGAGTGGCCATGTTTTTTCAGCAGCAATAAAGCACACGACTTCCAAAAATGGCTGCTTTCAGTTTCTTTCAGCTTCACATGGAGTGCAGAGAGGCAGCCCTGTGTACACACAGGTTACTCTGTGAGGCTGTAAGCCCTGTTGCCTGCCTGAACCAATCAGAAGAAGAAAGCTGCTCACGTGCAACTAGCTCTGTGTTCTATCTCAGTGCTGTCTTAGGATAGCTTCACTTGCTTTTGGACTCAATCCCAATCTTTTCATTTGGAAATTTAATGTACTTTTCTTAGTTTAATATCTTTGATTCCTTCTTTTTTTTACTATTTTTCTAGGGAAGTGAGCATGGGAGTGCAATTTGGAGGGCTGTGAAGGGACATTTTGGGGGTGTTTGTTTAAATATTGTAGTGGTTTACAATATTTAAACAATATTTAAATAGCCTCACACCCTTGAGGTCCCACATGAAGAATTCAATTCCTCCCCAGCCCAATCTTCTTGCTTCTCTCTGTAGTCTGTCCTGCTCCTTTCACCCCCCCGCCCCCCACAAATACTTTTTTAAAATTACAAAAAAGCAATTTCTTCTTCTTGTTGACCTCTTTGAGTAATATTTTAAAATCCCCTGTAACCCTGTAAGTTGTTTGCTGTTCCTTTTTTGACAGTCTCTCTTGTATTTTTCTTGTAGCTTCTATGTGTGCATGCTCCTTCTCTCACACAATAAGCCTGAGCCTATCCCCAATGTAAAAAGATATATCACAACATAACTACATAATTACATATATATAATAACATAGATGATGATGATGATGATGATGTATGGCCGTGGTGTGGGTGCTGCTGAGTCAAGTGGCCAGGCTTTCAGGGGAGCAAAAGCGAGCGGGAGAGGGAGAGGTACTACTGAATCCCAATCACATCCTTTTATGGGATACCATTTGGGGTTTTTTTTAAAGGAGATTTTATTTCTAGAAAGAATTTCCTAAAAATCAGTGGATGACCCAAATGTTCTGAAACTTGGGGGGCTAGTAGTGGTAAATATGTCTTCCAAGACTGGCCATATTTGTCCTGGTAGCCCTAAAAATGATGGAAAGGGGAGCCTCGGAAGTCCCCCCATTGCCTCAAATGGACCGGATCTTCTTGGAATGAAAAAGGAACTTTGGGATTCCAGATTGAAAAATGGCATTTTGTCCTTCTGAATTCAGGCAGCTCCCAAAAAAAAAGATCAGGGCCAGTCAAAAACTGGACACTGAAAATTGCACAGGGTTTACCCACAATGCACACCCCCTACTTTGCATTTCCCCCCCCCCATCTTTTCAGATAGCAAATCTTAACATTATCTGATCAAACTTTCCAATTTTATTGTTTACTACCTGATGTGGGAATCACAATAACATTAATTTCTACTTACCTGTCCAACCCAATTTGCCAGTAACCTTGCTGAGTGACAGGTATCCAGTTAATGGAACCAGTATAGTAAGATTCATCAATTCCACCAAAAGTGATCATACTACCAGTTCCTCCTCTGAAATGTGAATATACAATGCATTATTGGCTGGCTACTTTAAGTTGAAGCACACAGTAGAAAGTGAATGTATAGCATCCTTGCATACCAGATGTTTCTGTTAAACTTTTTTTTTACAACATGGGTTCATAGCTCACATTAGTGTTGTCTATGTTGGTGAAAAATATCTCTCTGTAGCAGCTGATAGTTCCCATGTCCAAAGAGTAAAGAAATTTGCTTTTGGTTGTAGTCTAAAAAACAGAAGCAGTTTTCATCCTTTAGAAGACCTATCTTAAGTACTGAACACTTTTTGACTAACATTTGGATTTTAACCAGGAGTGACTACACTATTCTGTTGACATGGAAGCCAGCAGCTGCCACAGCTGCTACCATCTCCCACATCCCCTGAATAAGAGATACAATGGACCCTTAGTATCTGCTGGAGTTTAGGTTTTGGACCCCCTATGGATTCCAAAATCCGTGGATGCTCAAGCCTCATTGTATAAAATTGTATAAAATGACATAGTAAAACAGTGTGCCTCATGTAAATTGTCGATATCCACGTTTGCTTTGGGGAATTTATTGTGAATATTTTAAAATAGTGGATGGTTGAATCTGAGTGTGCAGAAACTGTGGATACAAAGAGCAAACTGTATTGCAAGACAAGCATAATGGCAGCCATCTTATTTAGAATGTAATATCTGGCTGTAACTCATCTCAAAAGATGCTGCCAATAGGCAAAGCACTCAATATGTAAAGCAGAGGTGGGCAAGTCATATGTTGCTGGACTGCGATTTTCATAAACCTTGAGAAGCAGCTAAACTGTCACAGGTTCATGGAACCTCAACATATGAAGGGCTATAACAAGTCACCCAGTCCTTGTACAGATGCAGTTCTCCTCCAAGGATTCTTCCATCCACATGAAACAAATAATCTTACTAATCAAACAAAATACTATTTACCCGCCAAGATAGACAGAGAACAAATTTTCTTGCACCAAGCCTTCATCCACCATGTTATTAAACACAGGAGTTACATCGGAAACAGCAATTGCAGGGTAGCCTAATCCCAGAATCCCATCAAATTTTACATAGGTGAAGAAGGCGCCTGGTTCACTGGAGCTCAAGGCAAACTCTTGGTTAGTAACCGTAATGTCAGATACCTAGGAGAGAGACAGAGCATCCCTTTAGTTCTCTATCAAGCTAGTGAGGCACAATAAAGCTTGTATCCATGTAAACATGTATGGAAAGTGAGTCCTCAAGATATTACAACTATATAGATTGGACTATATAAACAAGGGTGGCCAAAATGAGGCTCTTGGGCTGTTTTGTAGTCCTCAGGACACCACCCACCATCTGGGGTCAAGAAATTACGTGGTTCTAAATGCCTCCAAATATCTTTGATTGATCTGAGATGCATTTCACCATGCCCTGAAGGCAAGGGGGCAGGCACCATTTTACACCTAGGAATACATTTAGAGTGAAAAGCTAACCAAGTAACAGCTCTCCAAGCACTGCTAGTTTTGACAGTTAAGCCTCTCGGATGTGCATACAGGGATGTCCTTGCAGACAGGATGGGATAGCATGGGAGATGTCGTTGATATCAGTGAGTGATCCGAAATACAAAAGTCCTTCCTTTCATGTGTCTCTCTGCACATGATGAGGAGAATTTGGGGGTCATCTTATAGCAATGAAGCAGAGAGTATTTGGGCAAAATCAACACTGCCCCATCCCTAAAGGAGTCTTTTTTGTCATACACAAAAAACAACACACCTTTTCTGAATTGAGCTGTAAGAGTCTTGATCCTCTGAACTGACTGTCTTGGGGCCCTTCCACACAGTCCTATATCCCAGATTATCAAGGCAGAAAATCCCACATTATCTGAGTGTGGACTCAGATAACCCAGGTTAAAGCAGATAATGTGGGATTTTCTGCCTTGATATTCTGGGTTATAGGGCTGTGTGGAAGGCCCCTTGCACAGCTGGTATAAGTTTGTTTCTTTCTATTCAGCACAATGCAGATAATTCTGAACTAAGATCCAGAGTATACAGAACAAAATGTGTTTCTGGTAAAAGTGCTTCCTCTTTTAATTCTAATTCTTTTTCTAGAATTTGGGGGAGAAAAGGGAGAGCTACAGTTTGCAAAGCTGTGAACATTTATGCAAAGATGAGTAACTTCTCTTGACTGGGACTTCTCTGGTTGCTAATTTTGGAAGCTTTCTTTTTACTGTATTGTTTGCCAGTAATTGAGGTCTTCTATTTTTGGAAACTTCCCTATTACTGGTTTGCTTGTCAGTAGCTGAGGCCCTCTATTTTTGGAAGCTTCCTTGTTGTTAGATTACTTGTCAGTAACTAAGATCCTCTATTCATTATATATATAATAGCAACTTCAAAATGTTGTACTATGCTGCACTGATAATAAAAATTAACTATTTTGTTATAAAAACTTCAATTCTGAATTAACTCTTTAGAAATATACACATCCTACTTGGATGTGAATAACTATGGTGTTGGTCTGTGGTGCTCTAAGTTCAAACATTTTTAATTGCATGCCTAGCAGCCATTTCAGGAGTGTTGGCATTTAAAATAAATTAATCCTATACACACCGCCTTTAAATTGGGGAGCTTTAATCCTTCCCTTGCCATCTGCATTCTGGATGAATATTCCCCCTTCTCCTCCATAAATTGCCCTCAGTGTTAGAAAAAATAGGGGAGCATTACAGTCCCACAACTTAAACCTCCCCACCTAGCATGCTGCAATATCATTAAAACCAAAGGAAAATATTATCAGGTTAAAGTTGAAGTTACAATATTAGTTTGATCTAGGGTTAAGTTTATTATCTAAGATTGGAATACTTTTGAAACCCTGCCATACACAGTTGGCCTTAAAAATGCACAGAAGAGAACTGTGCGGAAATGTCCAGGCTCTCCAGATGTTGTTGAACTATTGTATATACCAGGTATGGGATGCGGCCTCTTGGGCTCTTTTCTCAGGCCCTCCTCTCTCTCATCATCCTGTCCTTCCTTCCTTCTCTTTCCTTCCTCCTTCCCTCCCTCTTTCTCCTTCCCTTAAATCCTTCCTTTTCTCTTTCCTTCCTCCTTCCTCACTTCCTTTCTTCCCTTCCACCCTTCCCTCCTTCCCTCCCTTCTGTCTTTCCTTCCTTCTCTCTTCCTTCCTCCTTACCCCCTTCCTCTTTCTCCTTCCATCCTTCCCTTCCACCCTTGTGTTGTTCTTTCCTTCCCTCTTTCCTCCCTCTCTCTCCTTCCTTCCTTCCCTTTTGTCTTTCTTCCCTTCTCTCTTTCCTTTACCTTTCCATCCCTTCCATCCATCCTCTTCATCCCTTCCTTCTCCTTTTTTTCCTTCTTCCCTTCCTTCCTTCCATCCTTTTCTTCCACCGTTTCATCCTTCCTTCCCTTTTGTCTTTCCTTCCCTGTTTCATCCCTCCTTCTCTCCCTCCCTCTTTCTCCTTCCATCCTTCCCTTCCTCCCTTTCATCCTTCCTTCTCTTTTTAATTCCTCCTTCCCTTCCTTCTTTCCATCACCAGGTAGCCAGTCCTCTTAGCAGGGATTGCTAATGTGTGGCCCCCAAGTTAGAAAGTTTGCCCATGCCTGGTATATACTCAAATATACATCTGAAAATTTTAGTTACAAAAATTGTGCTGCATGACTCCCATCCCTGGTATAGATGGCGATTTAGAACTTTGTCTGTACAATTGTAACTATGCTACCCCAGTTTGTTTGTTTCTTTGTTTTTTTACCGTCACAGTATCATATCCTAAAATGCCATCCATGCTTCCTGTGCCATACTCAATTGACATAGTCTGCTGTGTGTTCTGGAAGGTAGAAGACTGAGAAGGATCGAACCTTGGGTGGTTTTCTGAAACAGACACAAAGATGTTTAATTCAAAAGCATAATAATCAGTAATAGCAATCCAACAGACTACATTTGCTTGCTGCAGAAAATGATTGCACTAAGGGTATGTGGGAAATGCTTAAAATGTATATAATTTTATTCTTTCTACTGATCAGAACTCTTTAGAAAAAATAGAAAAGTGCATTATGACATTTGTATCCTCAAGATGATTGCCCGAGATTTCATTTACTACTTCAGACAAAATATTTTCTCTCTAGATATTTTCTAGGTCATCCAGACATGCTTCTGCCAGACACTGATCATAGAGTCACACTGGAGGATCTAGTGATACCTAGAGACGTGTGCTCTTTGGGCATTTCCTGGGCCCTTGAGCACAACTCTACAATATACTTCCACCAGAAGTTATTTGTTCAATAGGGCCAACTACTACCTGCATTCTCATGTATCCAAGCAAAGTTCTGGAATGTCTCCCCCATAGACACAGGGGCTGTACAGATTTGTTTTGCTGTATTGTTTTGCTAGAGACTTTCGCCCAGTTATTAGTTCCAGCTAAAGATAATGAATCAGTTGCTAACTGATAAGTAAAAAGGCATGTGCATCCTGTTGATTCAATGGCTGTAGTCTTTTGAGGATTCAGGTGAAAAAAAGCAACGCTTTATTGAAACAGAACAATGAATTATTCAGGTATTATGAATAAAAATTTGAAAGTCTACAAGTCCTTCCTTACATACCATCTCAATTCATGCCATGAGACTTGACCATTCCCTTCCGTACTTTCCATTCATATGTGTCTTATGGTCAACATATCTACTTCTTCATTTGCTTTCATGATGTTATGTTTTATTGTGATATGTTTCTATTTGGTTGTGTTCTGTTTTTATTTTATTGCATTATGTTTTAACTCTGTGATTTCTGGGTTTGTCCCTTTGTAAGCCACCCCAAGTCCTTTCGGGGAAATGGAGGTGGGGTATAAAAATTAAATTATTATTATTATTATTATTATTATTATTATTATTATTTTGCATTACTTACGACATGGTGCATCACTGCAGTAAGTAGAGGGTACCCAAAGGTTGGATGATCCTGTGTCAAACACAACAGTAAACTCCTGCGGTGGAGTTCCAATGTAGACTGTTCCATAGTATTCTGTCTGTTAATTGATAAGACACAGCTGTTTTGCAAAGTTTTCTTTTCTTAGATTTTTAGTTTTAATAGTTGATGTGAGCGATAACCACACTAAGCATTAATTCTATAGTATAGATACACACTTTGTCTTGTCATTAATGTGTTACTAAACCCTGGATAAAGTAGCAAGAAGTATATTGAAAACATTTGGAAAGTATTCTTCAGTAGTAGTATTGATCTATAACAACAAAATTCCAACTCACATCTAAGAAGTTCAAAAGTGGTTCACCAGCTACTTGGGCAGCATTAGATATGGGCTGATATTTGGTACCAATGTCGTAAGGATGTTCCTCAAGAAAAGATTCCAACAAGTTTTTTTCCTTTAGGGTGTCTCTTCCTTTCTTCCCTCTCTGTAAGGGAATCCTAGGACACAAGAAACATAATTAATAGATTTACGCGTCCCCCATCAGAACCATCATTGGTTTAACATATTAGAAGACTGTATTGTCTCCAGGAAGTTATTCTTACTCTTCACTCCTGTTGACTTTCCCGGATGCCATTTTTTTCACATCAAAGAAGAGGTAATTCATTCTTTTAAAAACTAGCACTCCCTTCCAGTTTAATGTGAAACCAGATATGGACATCTAGCCACTTCTGATTTTGCTTTTTGGAAATCTTTGCAGCTCCTGGGCTTTCCACAGTTTCCCTTCCTGGGTTTAATATCATTGTCCCACCTCACATCTTATCTATTAGATTGAAACACATTCAGCCGAAAGACTGCATCCCTTTGGGATTATCAATGTCTTATGTTTCCTGTGCTCCTAACAGCAGTTTTGATCTTGCGCACAGTCTCTCAGACCTAAATTCCATTGACATCAGTTGTACTTGGAAGACAATATTCCACCCAATGCATGTTGATCTGTTTCAGTTCTCAATAACTGCAAGAATATCATTTGAAAGAAAATCTCACCTGTAGCTGTATCGGTAGTTAGAGTGGCACATACTTAGTACAATGCAAGTAAGCATTTATTCACACATACACACATTCTGCACAAACAGATCTGAGATTTGAGGATGCAGATCTCTTTCCGTTTCTCTCTGTCCTCACTTTCCCATTGCTTGATTTAGTGCATCAGAAATTATAACAAAAAGATAACCTACCGAGTGATAGATTCAGAAAGAGCGACAATAGCGAAGAGAATAGCTAGGTACTTCATCCTGCTCACTTAATTATTCCAGATGCTCTAGTTCTTGTTCTCTGCAACCCTGTTGTTTTATAGTTGCTTGAGAAGTACTCACCTTTATCAAGAAGACTTGTCATCAAAGTTCAACAGAGAAAACCCAGCCCATTTCTCAAAGCTTTGTAAACAATTAGGTAGGTCTCCTTTTCATTACACATGCCAGTATTATGGTGGCATATGACTTTTTAAAAAAACATTGCCAGACCACAGAGACTGGTCCTGGTTTTCCAGTTTTGTGGAGTGATCTCCAGTAAGAAAAAAGATTCCATATCTTCTAACTGTGGAGACTCACCTCCAAGTAGAAGGCAAGAGTAGTTTGCAACCCTTCAGTTCAGTTTACACTTGCTAGAACACCTCAGCAAGCGAGAGTCCAAAAGTGGCAGGCTCAAACCCAGAACCTCAATCGATTGCTGATACCAAATGAGAGACTCCCTCCTGGGCACACAGAAAACTGGGTGACTTGGAAGGCACTGAACAGACTGCGCTCTGGTACCATGAGATGCAGAGCCAACCTTAAGAAATGGGGATATAAAGTAGAATCCATGCCATGCGAGTGTGGAGAAGAACAAACTACAGACCACCTGCTGCAATGCAACCTGAGCCCTGCCACATACACAATGGAGGACCTTCTTATAGTAACACCAGAGTCACTCCAAGTGGCCAGCTACTGGTCAAAGGACATTTAATCAACTACCAAGCTTGCAAACTTTGTGGTTTGTTTGTTTGTTTGTTAAAAATGCAATACATCTGTTTGGTTTGCTCCTGACACGATAAATACATAAAATAAGTTCAGTTTAGTCCCATTTTGCAACAATTTGCAAAACTTTACTGATTTGTTTCTGCAACTTGCAAAGCTTTTTGGTGGGGGGCAGGGGTCTATGTATTTAGAATCATAGAATCATAAAATCATACAGTTGGAAGAGACCTCATGGGCCATCTAGTCCAACCCCCTGCCAAGAAGCAGGAATACTACATTTAAAGCACCCATGACAGATGGCCACCCAGCCTCTGAAAGATGGCCATCCAGGAAACCTTGGTGTAATCTGAATTAATTTGTCTTTACCAGATGCATCATTTGAATGCCTCTGGTAAAATCTGAGACCGGTCCCACATTTTAGGCTTGTCTAGATGGTCCCTTAGAGCCTTATCACATTGCTCCTTTATGCTGTATTACTTTGAAATCTGCACCCGACATTCCTGTGGTAGTGGTTGATTGCTGACACCATTTATCATGACCTACTTGTATTTCTGCTTTAAAATAGTCATTTCATTTTTTTCTCCACATAAATGATGTAATTGCCGACTCTTGTATCCCATCCCTTGCTTGCTTCCCAGTTGTGATGTCACTGTTCACACTTACCTCTGTTCTGCAGCCACCTTCTGGATAGAAGCAATCAATCTAGACTAAATGTTCCTTGCTCTGTCTCAAGAAAGTGAGAAACAACAATCCCTTCATTTCTCCGTGATCTGGGAACAGACCTTTTAGCTATGATTTCTGCCTTAATATTCAAACAGGAAAATAAATTCTGTGCATGCTTGTTTATTGAAGGCCATTTTGGAAAATACCTCTATCATAACTACATTTCTTTGACTGCTGCTAATGCTGGCTCTAATATGCCAAATAATGCAGTTTGAGCTGCATTACATGGTCAGTGTAGACCCATCTAATGCAGCTTGATACAGTTCAAACTTCATTCTATGGGTCTACAGCAACATTTCTCAACCTGGGGGTTGAGATCCTGGGGGTGGGGGTCAAAAGGCGGTGTCAGAAAACGCAGTATTTTCTTCCTCTGGGGCTAGAGAGGACCACCAAGGCAGCTTCCATTGGGGTTTCTTCCACCCGGGGCTGGAGAGGGCTGCCAAGACAGCTTCTGCCAGGGCTTCTTCCCTGCGCTCTTTCTTGGGCGACCAGGTGAGCCCCATGCCAATGGGGAAGCAGGGAGGGAGGAGGAAGGGTGGCTCCAGCAAGGGGAGGGGGGAGGGAGGGAGAAGGGGGGGAAGAGGAGAGGAAGAGAGAGAGGAGGGGGAGAGAGGAGTGGGCAGAGCTATACTGTACATATACAGTATAGCGTCCCTACATCACGGTTTTTCACTTATCGCAGGGGTTCCTGAAACGGAACCCCCGCAATAAGTGAGGAAACACTGTCCGTCCATTGGATCCTTCCCATAAGTCTTACTGATGTTGAGATTCCATCAACAACACTTCTACCACCAATACATAGCGACTTGCCTCATAGGAGCATGCAATGTTACAATAATGTAAAAAAAATGGCAGGTTAATTTTTGAGTCCTGTTTGGGAGAGATAAAGTGGGGTATAAATAATAATAATGATGATGATGATGATGATGATCATTATCATTATCATTATTATTATTATAACTAGTGCATTTTAGTTGAGAAGTTTTGGACTTCAACTCCCACAATTCCTAACAGCCTAACAGGAATTGTTGAAGTTGAAGTCCAAAACATCTAGAGGGCTGCAGTTTGCCCATGCCTGTTCTAATAGATGCAAAATAACTTGACTGGCCTTGGATACTGCCTACTAGGGCTGGGCGGTTTCGTTTCGTTAATTCGTAATTCGTTAAAAATTCGTTATTTTTTTTGTTAACAAAGCGATAACGAACCATTCTGGAGCAACTTAAAAACAAAACGAATTTTTCAATTCGTTTCGTAAATGCTTCGTATTTCGTTATGTATTCGTTTCGTTATTGGTTTGAGGTCGTTTCGTTATTATTTCCGCATGTCTGGGGCAAGTTTTATAGTTGTTTTTTGTTTAATTAGTGAAAAAAAATTATAATATCACACCAACAGTCAACAACAGAGGGAGAGGGAAGCTTCAGAAGTTGTTTTAGCGTATTGCGCGATCGCGGCGCCATTAACGAATCGATTCGTTATTGTTTCGTTATTGTTTCGTTATTGTTTTGTAATTTTTTTACCATTTACAAAATTTCGTAAATATCGAACTTTTTTTAAAAAATTTCGGAATTCTTTTAAATATCGAAATGCAAAAAACCCCAAAAAACGAATCGATTTTAGAAACAAATTTTTCCGTTGTTACCCAGGCCTACTGCCTACATTGTGGCATGCGAGCTGTGCTACTTTGTCTCAGGGGGAAATGCCTTGTATTTATCATCTCTGGCTTTGCCATAGCAATATGCTATGGCTTTGCCATAGCAATATGCAAATCACAATTATTATACAGTATACAATATGCCAAAGCAATCAAGTCTTTGTAAAGGCCATTTGACTTGTGCTCAACCCATCATGAAACAAAAGGGCATTTGAATTTGCTTCAGTTGTCCTTAAATGACTCAAATCACAATTATTATACAGTTTATCGCAGTGAGTAAAGAAAACATTAAGTAAAGTTTATCTTATATTAGAGGTCACCTTGCTTATCAACAGTCTTATTAGAGTGTTGTTTTGGAAATTATTCTTCTGCCTCTACTTTTTTATCTTTGTCATTATGCCTTTCCCCCAAAAATTCAATGTAGTTTTTGGATGAAACTGGGTATAATATAGTGAAAACGTACAAAAGATTTATGTTAAAATAGAATTAAAGTATTAAATTATCACAATAATTGAAAGCATACATTTAAATGATTTAGTATTCACTGTGAAGGTTCACATCCAGTGAAATCCACATGCCTTATATCCTTTAAACAACACATTTTTTTGTTTGTTGATCAATGCAAGACATTTTCCAGCTTGTTTCAAAATGTACATAAATGTATGAACACAGACACATGTATGCACATACACTATTCCAGTTGTGAGAGTCTTTAGGCACATCAACACTGACAATTTAAGTTTCAAACTTGTATTGAAGAAAGTGGCATTGACACTGAAATACAACACTGTCTGAGATCTGTGAGCACAGCATTTTTTCAAATTTAGCAAGCATGTTTGAGGATCAGGACAATTTTAGGCATACCAAGATGCTTGTTTATACAGCATTTGTTCTTCCAACTCTATTGTACACCTGTGAAACATGGGCCATCTACAAATGTCACCCTCAACTTCTGGAAAGATTATATCAGCATTGACTTTGAAAAATCCTGCAAATCTCTTGGAAAGAGAGGTTATTTATTTATTTATTTATTTATCGTGTCAGGAGCAAACCAAACAGTTGTGTTGTATTTAAAACACACACACACAAAGTTTGCAAACTTGGCATCCTATTAAATGTCCTTTGACCAATAGCTGGCCACTTGGAGTGCCTCTGGTATTCCTATAAGAAGGTCCTCCATTGTGCATGTGGCAGGGCTCAGGTTGCATTGTAGTAGGTGGTCTGTGGTTTGCTCTTCTCCACACTCACATGTTGTGGATTCTACTTGGTAGCCCCATTTCTTAAGGTTGGCTCTGCATCTCGTGATGCCAGAGCACAGTCTGTTAAGTGCCTTCCAAGTTGCCCAGTTTTCTGTGTGCCCAAGGGGGAGTCTCTCATTTGGTATCAGCCATTGATTGAAGTTCTGGGTTTGAGCCTGTCACTTTTGGACTCTCGCTTGTTGAGATGACAGGAGAACAAATGTCAACATTCTGGAAGAAGCAAAGAGCACCAGCATGGAACAAAATTATTTTCTTCCATCAACTTTGCTGGACTGGCCACATTGTCCAAATGTCTAATCACCATCTCCCAAAGCAGCTATTTAACTCTCAGCACAAGGGCGGAAACAGAATGTTGGTGAACAACAAAAGAGATTTAAAGATGGACTTAAAGCTAACCTTAAAAAATGTGGAATAAACACTGAGAACTGGGGAGCTCGGGCACTTGATCATTGTAATTGGAGGTCATCTATGATCAACAGTGCTATGGACTTTGAAGAGGAAGTAATAGAGGACAAAAGGGAGAAACATGCCAAGGGGAAGGCATACCAAAGCAAATCCTTGTTGTGACCACCTTCTATCTGGAAATCTATGTCCTCACTGTGAAAGACCATATGGGTGCAGAATAGGTCTCTACAATCACCTACAGATCAACTGCCAAGGCTCTACCTCTGGGAGACAATTATATTGGGCCATGAATAATTACAAAGGATATCTTGGAACCAATTTTAGGCCCAGATGGTGATGACACAAACCACAGAGCAATGATGAACATTAAGGGCTTTCTCTCACATTCTTTCCTGGATATTCATTGCCTAGACATCACAGTTTCAAGCTAGTTTAAAACTGCATTAAGTGGTTAGTGTAGATGGAGCCTTTGTAACAGAAATAAAGCCATATAATTTTGTTTTTCTCTCTGGTTTTGTTAGGTTCTGACAGTTGCTTTGGGGATTGCTCACTTTCTGCCTCTTCCAGGAATATGTAAAGTTGAAAATGTCCATCTTCATTTCACTTTGAAATGAAAAGATAAGCAAGAAAAGTCAAATCTCAATTTTAATTTGCATCTGAGAGATCTTTCTCAGGCAGCTAAGGATAGTGTAGGGCCAGATCAGATCCATGGTGGCCAAACGTGGAACGGGCCGCTACTGTTCCCACTGCTATCCCATGTGTCCCAGGTTTAGGCTGCCTGGGGATATGGGATGGCAGTCACAATTTCCTCCCATCTTCCATGTCACAACCACATTGTCATGCGTGCAACCTGTTGACCAGCCCTTGCTATATCAACCAGGGCAACAGTACACTCAGGGAAGGAGTGGGAGAGGAGGGTGGTTTCTCATCTCCCCAATTTTTCCTCACCCTGGCACCCTGGCTGATGTCACTGAAGATAATGGCAGACAGAAAAACCCATGTGATGACTGGAGAGCACAGTAACATGGAAGGTGGGAGAAGAAGGTTAGGATGGATGCCCTGCGGCACCAAAGCACTTTTGGTGCAGCTCAGCAGTCAGGGCTTTCTCCCATCTCTACAGTGGCTGGGAGAGTCACTGTGTGACCCATACCTAGGGCCAATCTGGTGTACATCATGCTGGATTGGCCCCAGATAATCAGTCTATAGAGATCCACCCTCAGTCATTCCCTGGCTAGTGTGAATAGTTACTGGATGGCAACCATGACATTGCAGGGGAAAAACAAAGAGGTTGTGTACCATGAAGCCTCCTACCAACAGAACAGGAGTGGAGTGACATTGTCAAGCTATGTAGATGGAAAGGTACACATTTAGGTATTCTGTACACAGGAAATTGCCTTATCTCATTCATCTCTCTAGCTCCATATTGTCTCTACTGTTTGGCAGTGGTTTGTGAGGATTTCAGACAAAAGCCTTTCTTAGTCCTCCTTACAAAAGGCAAGGACAAAGCCTGGAATGTTCTTCGTGAAGCATTTAATCTACCATTAAGCTATAGTTCATTATTTACAACAATTGTTCTTGCCCTTTCCTTATCATGAAGTTGGCACTTGGGATTCTAAGCCTTTCTCCATATACTTCGGTAATGCAGGAATCTTTACAAGGCCAATAAGAGAACTGAAATAAGATGCACATGAATTCAATTTTAGATGCTAAAAATGTATCTAGAGGGGGAAATCTTGCCCTACAACAGTTTTGCACAGAGGAAAAAGGGAAGATTATTACTCTTTGTCTCTTTGTTGATGCTGTGAAATATTGAAAGGAAAGAGCAATGTAACCATATTTGCACAATTGACCATAGGCAACTAGGTAGAAAATAGTTAGAGAACTATTTCCCGGAGCATTCCATCTCTCTGGTTCAGTCTAGATCAGAGACTCATTCTGGAATTATCTAGTTTTTAAAAGATTGGCTTAAATGTTAGTTATTTTTAGTCCACATTATAGCTCTTTGGGTGTAAAAAAGAAGGAGTGAGCATTATTTTTCTCAAATGGTTCAAAGACAGGGCTAAGCTTTGGTGAGTGAACATATATTCCATATTTTGTCTGTCCCAACTACAGTTCCATCCTCATGATGTACTTTCCGTCCGCCCTTAATAAAGATCTAACGCCATTGTTCGTCCCTTTTGAGCTCCTCCCTCAGAAACACATTCTCCCACTACTTATCTCATCCAGGGTTTTGTCAATTTTATCCTAGTACATTTGGCCCACCCACTCTGTTCTATTTCTCTATCATGTTATTTTGAAACTGTTTATTTTATTTTGTTATTTCATGCATTTATTTTGATGGTATTTTTTGCTTCTTTGTATTTTATTTTGCAGTACTGTAATTTTGGGCTTGGCCTCATGTTAGCCACCCTGAGTCCCCTTTGGGGAGATGGTAGCAGGGCACAAATAATGATGATGATGATGATGATGGTTACTATTAGCTGCAATTTCTACTCCATGAAGATTCTACTGCTTCCTCTTCTAACAGACAGTGTTAAGCTTGTTTTCACTTCCTCTCCTGTCTCTTCCTATCTTTTGTAGTCACATAGCTAGAGGCAGCAGAACTATTCATTCTGTTTATCGAGTGCATATTTCATTTCAATAACTTTCTCCTCACTGAAGACAGTCTTTAATAATAATGGTTCCAAACACCAGCTTCCATATTTGCTAACATGTAGATCTCAAGATAATGAATCTTTACCCTAGAGTTGAATTACTAGAAGCCAAGATGACTAAGCTGAGGTTACTATGCTTTGGGTATAGCATGAGAAAAGACAACATGAGGAAAGAAAATAATGTTGCAAGAATCTGAAGCTAGCAGAAAAAGAGGAAATACAGATAGATTGACTCAGGCCCCAAGTTTACAAAGCTAGAGCATGGCTGTTCATGACCTCATGAGGCTCATAAGGTGCATCTACACTGTAGATTTCATGCAGTTTCACATCACTTTAACTGCAACAGCTCAATGCTCTGGAATCATAAAAGTTGCAGTTTTACAAGGCCTTTAACCTTTTCTGCCCAAGAGTGCTGGTGTCTCACCAAACCACAACTCCCAGGATTCCAGAGTATTGAGCCAATGCAGTTTATTTATTTATCATGTCAGAAGCTAATTGAGAATACAGTTATAATATATTTAAAAACACAAAAAAAATAAAAACTTGGTATTGTGTCCTTTGACCAGAAGCTGGCCACTTGGAGTGCCTCTGCTGTTGCTATAAGAAGGTCCTCCATTGTGCATGTGGCAGGGCTCAGAATGCATTGTAGTAGGTGGTCTGTGGTTTGCTCTTCTCCGCACTCGAATGTCATGGACTCCACTTTGTGGCCCCATTTCCTAAGGTTGGCTCTGCTTCTCGTGGTGCCAGTGCACAGTCTGTTCAGAGCCATCCTAGTCACCCAGTCTTCTGTTTGCCAAACTTGTTTAATTATATAGATTTGATTTAATTGTATAGAAGTCTCTTGTTTATAGAATCATAGAATCATAGAATCAAAGAGTTGGAAGAGACCTCATGGGCCATCCAGTCCAACCCCCTGCCAAGAAGCAGGAATATTGCATTCAAATCACCCCTGACAGATGGCCATCCAGCCTCTGTTTAAAAGCTTCCAAAGAAGGAGCCTCCACCACACTCCGGGGCAGAGAGTTCCACTGCTGAATGGCTCTCACAGTCAGGAAGTTCTTCCTCATGTTCAGATGGAATCTCCTCTCTTGTAGTTTGAAGCCATTGTTCCGCGTCCTAGTCTCCAGGGAAGCAGAAAACAAGCTTGCTCCCTCCTCCCTGTGGCTTCCTCTCACATATTTATACATGGCTATCATATCCCCTCTCAACCTTCTCTTCTTCAGGCTAAACATGCCCAGCTCATTAAGCCGCTCCTCATAGGGCTTGTTCTCCAGACCTTTTATCATTTTAGTCGCTCTCCTCTGGACACATAGAGACATCATAAATGGAAGCCAACTTGATGGCATTTAATAACAGTGGATTCCTAGGTCTAAGGAAAAGGCAAGTTTGAAAACAAAAACAAAACATTGAGTAGCACTTTGGGCAAAATGCAACTAAGATGAATTCTTGTCCAAAAAGAGAATCAGCTGCATGACTGTGAATATGCATAGCGGGCTGGGGAAACCAATGATTTCTAAAGGAATTTTAATGTTTTTTGGAGAGGACCAAATCCCATAGTATGTGTATCACATGTATGTGGACATGCAAATTATTTCTGCAGTTATCCTGAACTCCAGAGTTTATCCTGAATACTGTCAAAGCTTCCTTGTCAGCAACAAAAACAGGATGAGTATCCACATCATGAGTCATTTTCTGTCTTTCACCATCTATGAAAATTGTGTTATTTTCTGCCTCGAGGCATATGTTCATCAGTGACAATTACAGGATAAGACAGACATTCAGTATATAGATGTGTAATTTTATGATTCATTTAAAAAAAATCACATTGCAATATGACACACATACAACAGTAAAAGAAACATACCTGCACATTACAGAGAAACATTCCATACTGTGATACAATATATATTCAAGCTCAATAATTCTGAGCATCAGTCAACATTGAAAGCAATGTACTTGATACTACACAATAGGCATACATATCTTGAGCAATAAGTCCTCTATGCTTTGGACATACACAGACGCTTTCAAACTGGATCAAGCAGATGAAGCTTCTTGTTTCCACCAGAACCGGCTGCACAGAATGATGAAGATCTGGCCTTCCTAGCAATCAGAAAACTCACTTCTTCTTCTCCCCTTTCCTTCCCTGAACAGTGCTTCTTGTTTGTTTGAAAAAGGGTTGTCTTTTTGTTTTAGGATTCCCCATAAACATTCAACTGAATTAAGAATGCCATTTGTATGTGTGTACATGCACACACAGAGCAAAATGGGTGAGGCTAGTGGTTAACAAGATTCTAAGAATGCAGGGCCAAATTAGAAGTTTAATAGCACCCGTGGATGCAGAATGATAAGTAAAGGTGCCTTTATATTTTAACCATTTGACTGCTTCCATGGAAGTGGAACTGACTACTTTCCCAAAGGCTATCTCAAGGTGGAAGCAAAACCACAAGGAATGCCACTTGGCTGCTTTTTTTCATTTCAGGAACGACTTGAGAAACTGCAAGTTGTTTCTGGTGTGAGAGAATTGGCCATCTGCAAGGACATTGCCCAGGGGACGCCCAGATGTTTTATCATCATGTGGGAGGCTTCACTCATGTCCCTGCATGAAAAGCTGCAGCTGACAGACAGGAGCTCACCCCACTCCCCGAATTCGAACCCCCAACCTTTAGGTCAGCAGGCCAGCCGGCACAAGGATTTAACCCATTGTGCCACCGGGGCCTCCTGAACCAATGGCAACCATTATCACAGACGCTGATGTTAATATGTTCATGCACAAACCACTGCCTTCTCTGAAGCCATCCACCTACATAGGGCCAATGGAGGGGTGCAATGCTATGTTCATTCCTTTCTTGAAGGAAGCAACAAGTAATCTCAGCAATTATCCTACTGTGGTGAGAAAATTTTCAAAACTTCTATAGTTTCCAAAGACCAATTGCATTTTAGGACTGATTCAATACCCAATATGTTTGTGGCATTTTTGTTCAGACTATATCATTTTCTACTTTTATGCACAGAAAATAGTATTCATGCATAGAAATACTATTTTCTGAGCTAATAACGGAATTTTCTGTGGGAAAATATTATTGCAGTTATTCTGCAGTAAATTAACATTTTTTCTTTGAAAATAACATTTTCTGCACAGAATATATTATTTTCTGCACCAGGGATGTTGTTTCCCTGGCCAAAAATCAAATTTTCCATACAAAAATGCAATGTGTGAATATTGCATAGAATAAGCCCTAAACTGTGAAAATTCTCATTAGTACAGGAGTGTTCTGTCCCTGTCAATGTTTCAGACACTCAACCAATACTTCACTTCTATTTAAAAAATATTTTTAAATATTGTTCCCATCCCTCTGCTTGAAGTGGCTGCCCTTGTGTTTCTGCTGCCATCTAGTGGCAACATCCTATAATGGCATTGTACACTGCAATTCCAGTATACAATAATGATCGGTGATAGATCCTGATATTCCACCCCAATAAGTTCCTCTGGTAAATGAAGTCAGCGCTTGAACTGTTTCCTCTTTTTCTTGACACCCAGATGTCATGGAGCAATGCTATTTTGAGGGTCAAAATGAAGCATGTAAAATGACACTGGACACAGGAATAAGAAATCAATCTCACATGACAACCTCATAGGTTAAGGATACCTAACTACCATACCTAACTTTACTATAGATAGGGAAGTTGGTGCTAGACAGTTTGATATGATTGGGGATGGCAGCAAAGTGCTTACGTTATATTATATATGGGTCCATTATTCTGCACAGGTATATTATATATGGGTCCATTATTCTGCACATATGATTTAAGAGGTTGTGTTGACATCTATTATGTTTTAATGCTTGTCCAGACACTTGGTGACAACATTTGTTCAAAAGAGAGACAGATAGACAAAAAGTTCCTAAAATATAAAAACAGACCCAGCTTACACCAAGAGGAAATTTTAATAATTAAGACATCACTTCCATTAACATTTCTGACATCTCTTTTGAATTGCTTGAAAGCACAGCTCTTATGTATTGATGTATCATTAACTGGAGCTGTTAAACCCCATTTATGTTAATGGACAAAGCTTGTGTAGATGGATGCCTAATTGTCCTCACAGGATATTGATGACAATAAGTATTCAAAGTGAACTGTAATGATCTCTGGGCAGGAACAATCATGACACTCTTTCCTTGACAATACATTTCATTTTCATTTCATTAAATCCATGTTTTTGAAGTCTACCGAACATCGGTACCGACCATCAATGAATTTGGCGCATATGTAGTTCGGCAAACATGGGCAGGTGTGATGTTGTCGTTTCCCAAAGAATGGAACCTTTCAGAGAAAACAAAAAAGCATACAGAATATTAATAAGATGTTATCAGTTCAACTGAGATAAACATCTGGGTGAAGAAAGGAGTGTGGGAAACAGAATCCGTGCATAATAGAGCCTAAATATATACATTTAAGGTCACAACCAGTGAGACCAGGCATGGGCAAACTTGGGCCCTCCAGGTGTTTTGGGAGTTCATGTCCAAAACACCTGGAGGGCTCAAATTTTACTTGTGCCTGAGCTAGAGTATGACTTAATGATAATGCTTGAGTAATTGTTACAGCCATGTTGATGTTTAACACTTAGAGTGAAAAGCAAAAGCAAAATAGAAGAAAGAAACAATACATAAACAACCAAAATTATAACAGGAGATGAGTTACAATGTGCAATATCAATTTTGTATACATATATTCTGCATCTCCCTGACATTAAGTCCAGTCATGTCTGACTCTGGGGTGTGGTGCTCATCTCCATTTCTAAGCCGAAGAGCCAGCGTTGTCCGTAGACACCTCCAAGGTCATGTGGCTGGCATGACTGCATGGAGCGCCGTTACCTTCCCGCCGGAGCGGTACCTATTGATCTACTCACATTTGCATGTTTTCGAACTGCTAGGTTGGCAGAAGCTAGGGCTGACAGCTGAAGCTCACGCCGCTCCCCGGAATCGAACCTGTGACCTTTCGATCAACAAGCTCAGCAGCTCAGTGCTTTAACCCACTGCGCCACCGGGGGCTTCTGCATCTAGTTCCATGTAAAATATATCTACTCATATTTCATCACATAATAGTCACACACCACTCTTGGGTTAGGGTCTTTTTGTATTCCCTGCATAATAGTTGAACCCCCACCTGCATGCATGCTTCATGGGGCAGCCCCCATAGCAGGCATGTGGGTGGGTGAAGGCACGAGAGCTAGGAGGCCTTCCTCCACTGCCAGCTGCTGACGGAGGCCCTGTAAGCCTTGCTCGCCAGTGAATAGATAATAGTTACAGCCCCCTTTTTTGAAAGGGAGAAAGGGGGGAGTGCGACTATTATGTGGTGAAATATGGTATTTTTTAAACACCTATAAACACTAAAGCATTTATACAAGTACAAAAGTTACAAGTGACTAAGAAATAAAGGGAGTGTTCTTTAGTAAGAAATAAGACTGTTTATTCCTCAGACACCAACACTCAACTATAATGTAACTATAATACAATCCAGGTTATAATCTTCAACCAAAGTTGAAAATAATATAAGTAGATTACAAGTGGGATACACTGCTTTTGAAAAAGGGAACTATTTCTCTAAATCTGCTTTTGGCCCAGCTTGGTCAGACATAAGTCAACTCTCTTTTAATGTGTGTGTGCTTGCGTTTGTGTGTGTATGAGCAAAGAAAGAGAGAGAATTGCCCCCCCCTCCACCTCCCTTTCCTCCCCCCCCCCTACCATATATACACAGACACACATAGGCAGAACAACATGCAGTGTGTGTGTGGATTACACATTGCATGTTGTTCTGAATTTGCTTAGTAAAAAGACAACCTAGTAAAGAAACAAACAAGACTCTTTTGCTGGTAAAAAAGGTGGGCAGCGGGAGATAAAATGTTATAGTCCAAAGAGTTAAAATATCTTGAAAATAGTTGTAAAACAACAAGATTCTACTAGCTAATGACAGGTCTTCTTTTCTTTGCTCATCCATCCAACCAGGGGTGCCTCAACCCATTATGCAAAATAAGCATTTGCTGTATAGTTGATTTTGCCCAGGGGCGCTCTTGAGGAATAGACTTTGACATATGCGAGTTGTAGTTACTGGGATGTATAGTTCACCTACAATCAAAGAGCATTCTGAACGCCACCAATGATGGAATTGAACCAAATATGGCACACAGAACTCCCACGATGAACAGAAAGTATATATCAGTGATTGGTTGGGGGGGGGGGGCAAAATACTGTTTGCTTACCGTTGAAAATTACCTTGGGCCGCCTCTGCATCCAACACACAGAGAGGAAAGGAATTTTCCCTTAACTTACCTTTCTTTGGGATCTAGCCAGGTTCCTTCATTCCGGTCCCCATTCTAGATTCACCTCTGTGAACTGAAACCCTTAAATCATATGCCCAAAAGATGTTATCCCCATCTTACTTCATTAGAGACTTAAGGTTCCTTCAGACTGCTCCATACTTCTGTTAAATGCTGTCGTGACAGTCGTTTGTGCTCCCATATCTAGCTGTGTCATAAATCTACTAAAGTTTTAGCCATTATTAGTTCTTGATTATAACAGATTTTAGTACTATTATCAATCATCATGTATCTCTTTAATGCAGTTTTCTCCTGCTTAGGGCATGGGTAAGTAGTGTGCATGTGGTTCCATCCTCACCATCTCCTCCATGAACTTCCCTGATGCTCCCTCCTCAATATTCACATTCCCTGCCTCTCAAATGCATTTTAAACTTTTTTTCTATCACCATTGTGCTAAAGTAATAGAATGGTATGCCACTTTAGTACTATAACTGCAAAAAGGAGGGGAGAAATAAACAAACACACAAAACCATGGTGGCACAGCTGGTTAAACCGCTTGCTGCAGAAAAGTTAGAGCATAACAGGGTCAAGGCTACTCACAAATACCTTATGACTGATGGGGTGGCATTCGTCCCCTTCTTGCCCTAATGGAGTACACATTCGGAGTCCACGGAGCCACAGGCTGATGGCACAGCATGTCCCACCTCCACATTGGAGGTCCCTTTCACAAGCCTAGAAAGAAAAACACAGAAGTCTAGATTATTAAACACAAGGACTGGTCAAGGAAAGAGGCGCTCTTTCCAAGTGGTAGCATTATCAGGTTGTTTAAGCATATAAAGCAAACGGCACATCTGGTGTAAAAGACATCTGAAGATAAGGTTGAGGGAGATCAAAAGAAGGGGAAATAACCATGTTAGGGGTAACTTTAAAATCAACATAATATTATTTTGACAATGATACGATGAATGAGAACCATATTCACCAACATTTCACAGATGAAAACTGCAGCATGTGGCCAAACAGCATCAGACTGTGGTCAAAAGAGTGCGGTGAGGCAACAAAAGTACAAGAGTTACTACTCTTTTCAGGAGAGAAACCCTTGAATGCTGTAGCAAATTAAGCAAAGTCTGAGGGCCTTTCCAGAGAGACGCAAAACGTGCAACCTATCTCGCTTTTACCTGAGGCGTCTAAATTATGCCTTGGGTGAAACTAATTAATGCAGAGAAAATTGGATTTTCCCAGTTTACTCTGCATTAATTAAATACCTGGAAAGTCCTGAACCTTAAGCTAAAGTCCAGATCTTTCCAGATGCAGGCCCTGTGGGGATTGACTCCCAGGATTGCTTCCATAGTCCCGAGGGTCAATTTCCACAACTATCCTGTATTTGGGGCTCCCAGAGCCCAAAGGAGCAGGAGGGCACTCCTTCCCCGATCCCCCCCCCCAAAAAAAAAAAACCTTACCAGTAATGGAAGTCCCTCTGCACAATACTCCTGACATGGGAAAATGGAGGGGGGAGGAGGAGAGAAATTACGTTCTTTGGGGGAAGGGAATGGGGGGTTGTAGTGGGGTTGGATGCCATCCCTCAAAAGAAAGCCTGGGGTTTGGGTGGGAACCGAAACCCAGGGTGAAGTGGGTTATTTTAACTTGCTTCCTCCAGGGTTTCTGCCCTGTGTAGGAGAACTCTGGGGAGGATGAAGACAAATGGAGCTATTTGGAATGGCAAGACTGCCCCCTCATCTCCTCTCAAGGCACTTTTTCACCTACAACTTGAATTGCAGCTACTGGAATAAGCTAATGATGAAGGAATAAAGCCGGGGGGAGGGGGGGTCAAGATATTTTAAAAGCTACTGATAAAGTGGGATGACAGAGAATTAACTGGTGCTGTCCTTGCTAACCTGGACAGTTGAAGTGTTTGAGGGCATCCTTTGTAAAGTACCTTCCAATGCTCCTCTTGCAGCACCAATGGATCCATTGACTCAGAATTGCATGGTATCAGCACCAGCACAATCTGTGCCAGGTATCTGGACTGTCCAACATTTAGATATCTTCATGATTCCTTAATGTGATGTCACCATAGGGCACCACAAGAATGTCAAAAACAACCTCTCGACTACATATTATTGCTACCACTCAGTAAAACAGACAAAACACATGGTAGAAGAAAGAGGACCCTGTTCCAGAGGAGCATCAGTGGTGGAGCACAGATGAGTGTTGGAGCTCTACCAGTTTCCTAAAAGTGCCAGTTGCTGCTATAAATTATCCATTTAAATAATTACAACACCTACAATATATATTCATGTACATGCTAACTTCATGTTGAGTGCAAGTTTGGAGGGCAAAATTAGGGATCTTGGGGATACAGGCAAAAATAATTAGGTCCATCTCAGCAGGCCCGTAGCCAGGATTTCGATTTGGGGTTGGGGGGGGGGGCTGAGTTTGTTTCGGGGGGGGGCTGAGTCTGAGTGAAAGAGGGTCTACCCTAGCAAACCTTTTGTATCGTTACCCCAATACCCCCATGCATATGGAATATATTGAGTATGGTGATCAGATCATGATATTAATAAACATAACAGTTTAAATAATGCACCAGTAAGGCCTTTTCGCGAACCACCATGAGAATTTGGGGGGGGGGGCTGAAGCCCTCAAGCCCCCCCCCCCCCCCCCCCCCTCCCACCCACCCCCCCCCCCCCCCCCCCCCCCCCCCCCCGGCTACATGCCCGCATCTCAGAGACCTTCTGCCTGTTTCCAGAAAAAAATAGCAAATCTGACCACATATATCCCACATGCTGGCCTTCCTCAGCATGTAGACTAAAGGAGCAAGTTCTTTGATTATTGAATCTAGACCTTTTACAAAATCTCTAGCCTTTTCTGCCAAAGAGTCCCGATACCTCATCTAACAACAACTTCCATGATTCCAATAGCATTGATGTTTTAACCATCCTTGTGGGAGGCTTCTCTCATGTCCCCACATGGAGCTGGAGCTGATAGAGGGAACCCATCTGCACTCTCCCGGGTTGGATTCAAACCGACCTCAAGGTTGCTCGTTCTAATCCAACCTGGGGAGAATATGGATGAGCTCCCTCTGTCAGCTCCAGCTCCATGTGAGGGAATGAGAGAAGCCTCCCACAAGGATGGTAAAAACATTTAAAAAATCCAGGCATCCCCTGGGCAATGTCCTTGCAGATGGCCAATTCCCTCACACCAGAAGCAACTTGCAGTTTCTCAAGTCGCTCCTGACACACACACACAAAAGTATTTAACCATGGCAGTTAGAATAGTATCAAACTGCATTAATTCTACAAAACAGACACACCTTGAGACTACATAACATCTGTAGGAATTATAAAGTTCTGAGGCACAGCTAAGAGGACTTGCTCACACAGTGATAGGAGGTTAAGGAACTCCTGCAAATTTTCTTGATAATCTAAGACTTGCTAGGTTGGTGTCTGCACTCTGTTGTCATATTTGTCCAGAATTATTTGCTAAAGATTTTATCAACCCAGCAAGCTGGCAAAATTGCTTACACAGTAGAGAACATTCATCAAGGAAGATATGCGTATGACCAGATTGCAATAAAATGATGTGATGGCAAGCCAAATAAACCATGGCACCTTATATTGACTATTACCATTTATTGCCAAAAAGAAAAAGAGGGCCCAGATGTCATGACAAAATGAAATGGGATTTTTATGGGACTGTTTGGAAGGTTAGCTGCTGCATCTCAAAATAATATATTGCTGTGTTCTTCAAGGGGAAGGAGAAAATAAAGCAGATCATTCAGGTACTATAGCACTTCTCTCTCCCACCCCCTCTCTCTCGTTAAGAAATTGGAGGTTATGTAATGTGTAATTAAACATATTGTTGCTATTATGATAAAGCTGTGTTTATAAAGGCATTCCTGGAAGATGCTAATTTTGCCTCTTCAAATCTTGCAGAAGGACATGAGACAACATAGAACAGGAATAAAATTAAGTGAACTGGGGATTGTTTTAACAACAAAATCCTGTTGCTTCCATATTCTATAACTGGAGGTTAGAAAAATGGATAGCATTGAAATTTATATAACACAGCATAGGACAGAGTAATAAGAAGCATAAGTCCCTTTCATACAGCTTGTTCCCAGGTTTTAGATGCTTGTTCCTGATTGGTCAGTTCCTAAAAAGAAGGTGGCACTTGAGTAGAAGGCAAAAACATTGTTTGTATGTTAGAAACTTCATGAAATATGTGGAGGGCACATTTTCTCTGACCAGGACAAAAATGTGGCCCCTTAGTCAATGTTGTACACGTACATCTTTTCACAAGAAAAGCCATCAGGGACAGCCATGTATAACTCAGAAACAGGTTCCTGTTGTTGGATGCTACAAGTACACAACCAAATCTGTTTAGACAGATGGCCAGGCAGTTAGGCTGTAAAAATAATAGATAATGTTGTGTTCCTGGCTTAAAAGTGTGTGTTCCTGTTTGTGCACTGCTGACTTAGGCAGTAGTGGTCATACCCCATGAGGGTTGTTTGTGTGGGAGATAGTGCATGAAACGTCTGGAGGGCAAAATAATTGAACTTTTGCCGTTATCTCTATATCTGAATCTTTGCATATTCACATATCCGCATCCTGTGAGGTTTTTTTTTAAAAAAAAACTGCTGGTTTCTGGTGGAGGTCCTGTGGCTGCCATCTTGGGAGCCTCTAAATTGCAGAACAAAGCATCAAGTCTGGACAACGGGGACAGCAATCCCGGTACGAACAATTATTATATTACAAATATTATATTACAATTAAATGTAATCATTTAAAATAATCTCTCCCTGAAGTACAGAAATTCAACAAAAGCACAAATCTCTCTCCTAACTGGAGGGTGATTAGAGAGTCAACTGCTGCTCTGAGATCAGAGTGAAGAGAGGGGCCAGGAAGACAGTTCCATCTTGCCTCCAGAATCATCAATTGGGAGGCCCCCCCCCAGCACCAACCGCTGCTCTGAGATCAGAGTGAAGAGAGGGGCCAGGAAGACAGTTCCATCTTGCCTCCAGTATCATCAGTTGGGGAGCCCCCTCCCCCACCAGCACCACCACTGCTCTGAGATCAGAGTGAAGAGAGGGGCCATGAAGGCTGTTCCATCTTGCCTCCAGTGTCATCAATTGGGAGCTCCCCCTCCAGCACCAATCGCTGCTCTGAGATCAGAGTGAAGAGAGGGGCCATGAAGGCAGTTCCATCTTGCCTCCAGTGTCATCAGTTGAGCCCCCCCCCTCCATCACCAACCGCTGTTCTGAGATCAGAGTGAAGAGAGGGGCCAGGAATGCAGTTCATCTTGCCTCCAGTGTCAATCAGTTGGGAGCCCCCCTTCCTCCATCACCAACCGCTGCTCTGAGATCAGAGTGAAGAGTGGGGCCAGGAAGGCAGTTCATCTTGCCTCCAGTGTCATCAGTTGGGAGCCCCCTCCCCATCACCAACTGCTGCTCTGAGATCAGAGTGAAGAGAGGGGCCAGGAAGGCAGTTCCATCTTGCCTCCAGTGTCATCCGTTGAGAGCCCCCCCCCCTCCAGCACCAACCGCTGCTCTGAGATCAGAGTGAAGAGAGGGGCCAGGAAGGCAGTTCCATCTTGCCTCCAGTGTCATCAGTTGGGAGCCCCCCCATCACCAACCGCTGCTCTGAGATCAGAGTGAAGGGTGAGGCCATGAAGACAGTTCCATCTTGCCTCCAGTGTCATCAATTGGGAGCCCCCCCCCCCATCACCAACCGCTGCTCTGAGATCAGAGTGAAGAGAGGGACCAGGAAGGCAGTTCCATCTTTTCTCCTGCACTGTGCTTATAATATAATATTATTAATAGTATTATATGTAATACAGTATAATACTACTACTACTAATATGATATTATAATTATATATTTCATATTAAATGTAATATTACTAATAATATTACAGTATAATGTTATAGTACAATGTAATATATAATATTAATATTGTGCTATGGTAATAATATAATATATTGTATTTACTTTTTACTTGTAAGCTGCTCTTTGGGGTGAGAAGGGTGGCATATAAATGTCATAAATAAATAAATAAATAAATAAATAAATAAATAAATAAATAAATAAATCAGGGCTGTATGTGGACATCTCATGAAATCCTGGGATTTTTTGCCCCTCACTAAAACCCGTGATTAAGTGCTGTCTGGAAGCACCCCTAGATTTAAAAAATCCCGTGATTTCCAATTGTAGGGACATACGGACATTCAAAGATACAGACATTCAGCTCAAAACCGCGATATTCCCACACCTGGAAATCTCACGGTTTTTTGCCTATTGTAGCAATTGTGGGAATATAGGGCTGTGTGGAAGGGCCTTGAGTCAACCTTGGAGTTGAAATCAGGTTCCAAGATTAAGTTTTAAAGAACCAAACTCCATTTTATGCCATGCTTAAATTTAAGTATGATTCTCTTATTGAACTTTATTCTCTACTCTGGAGTCATCTCTAATGCAAATCAACCTGGTCACTACTATTCTCTTCTTATGGAATGCAATAATCTAGGCAACTGGTGACATTATAAAGCAAGGAATGATTATAATAGATCTTGCCTTAGAACACTGGGTTGAGTGAGAGGCCGTAAGGCCATTTCCAAACATAAAAGGCTAAGGATTTTTTCACCATAGTCAATGGAATTTGGTTGTAGCGCTAGAGAGAAGATTGATTTTTTAAAAATATCTACTTCTAGTCCATTCAAATATTGTCTGACTCACTTATGCACCACAGCTGTGACAATTTAAAAAAATAAAAGTCAGGACAAATACATAATAATGCAATTTCCTGCATCTGTTAAGATTCAAATAATTCAAATTAAGTAAAGATGGGCAAAATAAGCATCAGTCCTATTTAAGAAAATGCAAAACAAATACAAATCATATCTTCAAAGTCCATTCATGACTTTTCATGCTGATGCCATCAGAATTATTTTGGGAACAGGAAGTATAACTCATCAAGAAAGAAGATATCAGAACCTAGTTACATGAATCCAAAATCTGATGTTCTATCTTTGTTTCATTGTATTTGCTTGTGTGGGAAGCTTCAACAAGTGCATTGTTGCTGAAATAGTTACAGGTGACGTCTTGATTTTGGTCCAATCTGTACTTCTCTCTTTTTTCAGCTTATATAAAATATCTAAATCCCATCACGTCAGCAGCAGCTTTATTTTAAATATGGAGTACCCACAGGAACAAAATGAAAACCATGGAATAATTGCATCCATTGAGAAGGAAATCTAATTGAGTCAATTTTAGTTAGATCCAAGAAATGGGATTTAGGTGAATATTTCCTTAAAACAGAATCACCATCTGAATGGTATATTCACATTTACATAACTCCCATTGATTCAATGGATCTTCATTAATCAAGACTAGCAACTGGATTTTGGATGTACAGTTCAGCTATGAAGGAGAAGGAGGAGGAGGAGGAGGAGGAGAACAACAAGAAGAAGGGGCAATAGCCTCATTTCCCCACACTGAGGCCCCATCTACACTGCCATATAATCCAGTTTCTGAATTTAGATTGTCTACTTTGAACTGGATTATATGGCAGTGTAGACTCATATAATCCAGGTCAAATCAGATAAACTGGATTATACGGCAGTGTAGATGCAGGGTGGAATTGTACTCCCAGTATGACTTCGATTTATACTGATTATCTTATTCAGATAATTGAGCAAAGATGTATCCTGCATAGGACTTACACAAGCAATTTCTGCATTTGCCAACACAACACAGATAGGTAGACACAGTTCCTGCTATGAATGGAATGGCTCTGAAATGACTCCCTAACAGGTAGGAACCTACCAAATTGCTTTGTCACTACTTCATTCCTAAGAGCCCTGGTGGGTCTTTATGCATTTTGATCACTAAACATGATGTCTACAAGGCACTCCTTATGAGTAAGAGAGTGCTTATGAAGACAGTGAGTATCTGCTGAAGCTTTGGTTCCAAGATCCCCAATAGATACAAATTCCAGAGTATACTCATGTCCCATTATATACAATAGTATCCCTCATACAAAATGGCAAAATTGGTGTTTGGATTTTTGTTTTATGAAAACCCATGAGTTGTTGAAACAATGGATACATAGAATCATAGAGTTGGAAGAGACCTTGTGAGCCATCCAGTCCAAACCCCTGCCAAGAAGCAGGAAAATTGCATTCAAAGCATCCCCAACAGGTGGCCATCCAGACTCTGTTTAAAAGCCTTAAAAGAAGGAGCCTGCACCACACTCTGGGGCAGAGAGTTCCACTGCTGAACAAATCTCAACATTAGGAAGTTCTTCCTTATGTTGAGGTGGAATCTCCTTCCCTGTAGTTTGAAGCCATTGTTCCGCGTCCTAGTCTTCAGGGCAGCAGAATACAAGCCTGCTCCCTCCTCCCTATGACTTCCCCTCACATATTTATGCATGGCCCTCATCATGTCTCCTCTCAGCCTTCTCTTCTGCAGGCTAAACATGACCAGCTCTTTAAGCCAGTCCTCATAGGGCTTGTTCTCCAGAACCTTGATCAGAGAATGTCACCCTTCTCTGGACACATTCCAGCTTGTCAACATCTCCCTTAAATCTACCTTAAATTGTGGTGCCCCAAATTGGATACAGAATTCCAGGTGTGGTCCAATCAAGGAGAAATAGAAGGGTAGCATGACTTCCTGGATCTAGACACTACACTCCTGTTTATTTTTTGTTGTGATCTCCTTTCAAATAATCTTTGAGTGGCAGTGACCCTGTTCTAGGGGTTTCTTGACAAAGTTTGTTTAGTGGAGAATTGCCACTGAATTTCACTAAGAATGAGGATGCATCTACAATACAGAGTAGAATTAATTAACTGGGTTGTTGTAGGTTTTTTGGGCTGTATGGCCGTGTTCTAGAAGCATTTTCTCCTGACATTTCACCTGCATCTATGGCAGGCATTCTCAGAGGTTGTAAGGATAACCTCTGAGGACCTCTGAGAATGCCTGCCATAGATACAGGTGAAACATCAGGAGAGAATGCTTCTAGAACATGGCCATACAGCCCAAAAAACCTACAACAACCCAGTGATTCCAGCCATGAAAGCCTTTGACAATGCAGAATTAATTCAGTTTGACACCACCTTAATTGTGATGGCTCAAATCAATGGAATACTAGGATCTGTAGTTTGATCATGTCCCCACATTCTCTGACAGAGGCTAAAGACCATGTAAAACTGCAACTTTGAGGATCCCATAGCACTGAGCTAAAGCAGTTAAAGTAGTGCCAAAGTACATTAATTCTATAGTGTAGGTGCACTCTGAGGCCCCTTCTACACGGCCATATAAAATCTGGATTATGTCTGCTTAGAACCAGATCATATGGCAGTGTAGACTCATATAATCCTGTTCAAAGCATATAATGTGGATTATCTGCCTTGGTAATCTGGATTATAGGGTAGTGTAGAAGGGCCTGAGAGAGTGTGACTTCTTCAAGGTAACCCAATGGGTTCCTATGCCTGAGCAGGGATCCGGCAAAATCTTAGTTCCATGCTCACAACCGCACACAACCAGTTCTAATTCTTACTTGTAGTGATACTACATTTGCTGTGCAATCCTATGCATATCCCTTTCAAAGACAGATTTTATTGACCTTACAGGCCTTATTTCTAGGCACTTGTATAGGATTGTAGCTTTAAGATCATTTTTACCTTCTCTGTTGTCATGCACCATTTCTACATTTTTGAAATAGATTATATGAAAAATTTGCATCTAGTTCTGTGACCTTTGCAACAAGTTCAAAATACAGTAGGTAAATAAACAATATCATTCCTCTTGTTTGTGTGTGTGTGGCTTTGTAAGGTAAGCACTCAAATAAAAATCTGGGTTGTAACAAACTTACTTTTTCTCTGCAATGGCTTTTAGCGCTGAAATACAACCCTTTGTTTCTTATGGTTTCTTTTATCTTAATTTTACAAACACATTGCTATACAAACCACATACCACTAGCTGCAGTTGGACCAAATATGCATTAACTTTAACACTGTTGTGCTTGAGCCCAAAGGTGAGTTATCTGTAGTCATTTATATCAACTCACAAGATAAAAGAAAGAGTTCTCCAGCTGTTGGTAGAAGTACTGAAGTGAGAATGATAAATTTCAACATTTCTAGTTACTAAAATATACCTAGCCAACTTTCTTCTTCCGATAAGATCTTTGTTCCTGGGATTTAGGCTCTGAGTTGCCCCTTTTCATAATAACTGGACTACAAATACATGCTGTGCATATTGTTCAGGCAAGACTATTTCAATAGTTAAAATCAGATAAGTAACATTATTTTAAAAACTTACCCCGGTGATAACAGCACACTTATACAATGTTATTAACAGAAAAAAACACAAGATTTGTACAATTATTTTCATGATGCTGGAAAAAATGGTTCAGTCCTTGTCTTTCCCCCTTCTCTTCACGCTCTCTCTTTCATGTCACAGCAGTTGCACTGCAATGCGAGTCCCTCTTGTCTTCTCCCTCCTCTTTGCTCTGTTCGCAAAGAGATCTGATCGCCTCCTGCTCTCTGGGCTCTCTATTTAAAATCTTCTCAGCCCCCTTCAGTCTGTTTTGCTGAGGCTGTATTTACGATGATGAGCCCAGGTACCACCTCCAATGAGCCTTGAATGTATAACACAGTTGAACAGGAAGAGGAGGAGGACTGAACTTCAGGGGGTTTGAAGTATGTCATTCATGGGGAATTTAAACGCATAGATTTAAAAATGTTATCTTTGGCATCTAATACTGGTGGACTTACCCATATAATGGGGTCTTGTACGTTTAAACATTTTAATGTATGAATTGGAACGCTATGTGCATGTCCATTTCAGTTTATGGAGGAGGTGACTTCTTAAAATGATCACTAAATATTTTTTTTCCCTTCAAGTGAAACAATGACTAGATGCATAGTAGTAAAATTGAGGAATTTAGAGCAGCTGTGGATAGTGAGATTTGAGCTGCGGATAGCGAAACCTAAGGTGCGGATACTGAGTAGATAAGTAGATACTGGTACCTGCTTTGTGTCGCCTTGTGACTCCATGCGACTGGTGAGCGGAAAAGCCCAATACTCCTGAATAAAGTTCACCAAGTTGAAGGAGAAACCACCAAGGTATTTTATTCACTCTGCAGAAAGTGATGCCAGCTTGCAGTAATTTGACAAAGTCAGCTGAGAAATCTTACAGTCAAAAACATACATTCTTATACATTTTACTCCCGGGGTTCTCAAACTTTTGAAACAGAGGGCCAGGTCACAGTCCCTCACTGTTGAAGGGCCAGATTATAATTTGAAAAAAAAACATGAACGAATTCCTATGCACACTGCACATATCTTATTTGTAGTGGGAAAAACACTTAAAAACAATACAATAATTAAAATGAAGAACAATTTTAACAAATATAAACTTATTAGTATTTCAATGGGAAGTGTGGGCCTGCTTTTGCCTGATGAGATAGGATTGTTGTTGTTGTGTGTTTTCAAGTTGTTTCAGACTTAGGGTGAACCTGAGGGAGGGCTGGGTAAATGACCTTGGAGGGCCATATCCGGCCCCCGGGCCTTAGTTTGAGGACCCCTGCTTTACTCCATTGAAATTCCCTCCTGCCCAGCTGGACCTGGCTTCATTGTGTTTGGTGAAGCCCCAATGCCATCAGAGGAGAGACTGCAGTGACTGGCAACCAATGAGAGGGTGCTACTTGACTCCAATGCAGATTTCCCTCTGTCCAATGACTGAAGTTGGGTGGGAGAGTCTAGGAGACAAAGGTGCTGAAATGGGTTTTAAGTGGATTAGAAACTAACAGTGGGAGCTATTAATTCCCATGATTTTTATTGCCTTGAAGATAGATATCATGAACCCCAACCCCCAATAATTCCATATTGTCCAAAATGATGGAATTATTAATCTGTCCCTGGGAAAGGGAAAAGGTCGTTGTGAAAAATAGGGCATGATCCTGATCTAGAAGAGTAGCTGACCTAGAAAATGTGCTGAATTTCAATTCCATTGCTAAGACAGCAAAAAGGCAAGGAACTGAGCCATCTCCTTCCTTTTTTCCATCCATTCATCTGTCCATCCATGTCCTTCCTTCTTCCCTCCTTTACCCGCTTTCCTTCCTTCCTTCCTTCCTTCCTTCCTTCCTTCCTTCCTTCCTTCCTTCCTTCCTTCCTTCCTATGATGGGCTACTTCTCTTTCAGAACATTGGCTTCCTATTTGAGGTGAATGCAACATGGCAAGCTGCCTGATTTACTTGTCCAATAACTGTTCAGGGTCTCAGATCTGTGCACCAGCTACTGACTTTTCCTCCTAGAAATGCAAAGGGTGGAACTTGCTGGAGCTTCCCTTGATTGGCGTACACTGGTAAAGCATGTATGCAAACCACATGTTTTAGCACTGCAATACTCTTTACCTCCAGGGAACCTAAAGGATCCTTATGGTTTTATGCAAGAAGATCTGAGGGCACTGTGCCCTTTCCTTGTAGAGAGTGAGCATCCTTATGCGATGCATACTTGCTGTTTTATACGAGGACCATTACCTTCATGACACAAGCCTAGAAGTTACTTTTGGTGACTACATCTCCCATCCTGTTTGGAAAATTCTGTGGGATGAAATTCCCAAATATTTATTTATTTATTTATTTATTTATTTATTTATAGACTTGTATACCGCTAATATCTCAGCCGAAATCGGCGACTCATTGCGGTTTACAACAGTTAAGAACAATACCATATTAAAAACATGAAACACAATTACAATACAAATTATTGGGCCACCAATAAAATCCGATGCATCTCGTAACTAAAATCCCAATCCAAATTCGTCGTCCGTGATTGTCAATCCTTTAGTCATCAACATTCGGTTGCAACGTACTAGCCAAATGCTTGTTTGAACAACCATGTTTTCAGTCTCTTCCGAAACACCATCAGCGTAGAGGCTGATCGTACCTCTAAAGGGAGGGTGTTCCAAAGCCGAGGGGCCACCACAGAGAAGGCCCTGTCTCTCGTTCCCGCCAACCGCACTTGTGAAGCCGGCGGGATAGAGAGCAGGGACTCTCCAGAAGATCTTAGGGTCCTGGTGGGCTGATAGGCTGAGATACGTTCGGATAGATAAGTTGGTGTTTTTTTTAAAAAAAAAATGTTTTTTTTCAAGATCTGGAGTTACCTACAGTTTCTTACCTGCATGGGGGTGGATCCCTGTAAGTAGCAAGATGCTTGGTTTGATGAAGCAAGACTCTAAAATTCTGCCTGAGGTTACTAGGATCTAGAACATGTGATAGATTCATTTAACCCACGTCTGTCTCAACTACTTTATTCCTTAACAGCAGTACCACCATTCTGTTTATCTTTGCTCCCGAGACATGTCATTGGGCTCTGCTTATCTGAAATGTACAAAGACATTTAATGGCATATGTAAATGGTTCTGGCCCTACTTACCTCTCCGAACGCATCTCCTCCTATGAACCGGCTAGGACACTAAGATCATCTGGGGAGGCCCTGCTCTCTGTCCCGCCTGCATCACAGGCGCACTTGGCGGGGACGAGAGACAGGGCCTTCTCAGTGGTGGCCCCTCGGCTGTGGAACGCCCTGCCTGCAGATATCAGATCGGCCCCCTCCCTGCTGGCATTTCGGAGGAAAGTGAAGACCTGGCTGTTCGAACAAGCATTTGATTAAACAGTGTAATTGAACACAGGAATACAGAAGAATGGATGATGAGACTGGATTCTGATTTTACTGTTGAGGCGCTAATGATTGTTATACGGATGTTTAATGATTTATGTTACAATTGTTTTTAATTGCCCTATACTTGTCTCGTGATGTTTTGTATTGATGTTGTTCACTGCTTTGAGTCGCCTGAGGGCTGAGAAAAGCTGTATATAAATTAAGTAAATAAATAAATAAATAATTTTGTCCAATGAGCAGAGCAGCACTCTATATGCTGTAAAAGGTGGAAAAGGGGAAATCATGAAACAACATGGCAATGATGGAAATGGAGGGCACTTCTTTGTGGGTAATAAGACTTGTAATAAAATACATATAAGACATCAGGTGCAGAAGCTAAGAATAGAACATTTTACTTTTTGGTATTGCAGTTTCCAAAGAACATACTGGCTGTGGCTTTGGGAATTGTAGTTCAATAAATAACTTTCCCATGCATTGGCTGAAAATGTTGATTTTCACTTAGGACTTGACAGTCCATGGCAGTTATCTTCTATAAACTTTCCACGGACAAAACTAGAGCTTCTTTTCATTGAACATGGCACGTACCAAGAGCAACAAGTGGTCCTGCAAGTAGTCCACAATGTTCTGGACTCAGGTTGTACAATAACCCATTGCACAGCATGGCCTGTCTGTGTGCAGGAACATCCCAAGCCTAAATTAGTTAACTGCTGAGAGAAATGTGTCAATTTCACTATAAGTAATTTGCAAGTATCCACCTATTGCTTTAGCCAGAATATGCAATAAATAAACCACTGATGAGCTTGCATGATAGTGACTCAAGGTGTCGAGAATTGCAATGAATCAGCTACTCGATAAGTTAAATTTATCTTCTTAGCATTTGTCTTGGGATGATCAATCTTAGGGCACTTCCAGACAGCATTAATCATGGGTTTTAAACAGGAACAAAAAATCCCAGGACTTCAGAAGAGGTCCACATACAGACCTGTTGGTCCCGGGATTTCTGCCTCTGCTGTCTAGACTTAATGCTTTGTTGTGAAATTTAGAGGCTTCCAAGATGGATGCTGTGGGACTTCCACCAGAAACATCAGTGTTTTGTTTTGTTTTTTTTTTTTAAAAAAAAAAACCAGATGCAGATCTTTAGGGAATCACTGCAATGAATCACCACAATAGTTTCGTTCTTTGTCCTGGCCAGAGAAACTGTGCCCTCCAGACGTTTCATAAACTATCTGCCACACAAATAAAGTTTATGGGATAAGACCACTTCTGTCCAAGTCAGCACTGCACAATCAAATCGGAACACACACTTTCAAGCCAGGAACAGAACTTTGTCAATATTGACACTTTTTAGAGCCTGGCTGCCTGGCCATCTGTCCAGGAAGATTTGGTTGTCTACTTGTGGCATCAAACAACATGGTGCTGCTCCTGGGTTATACATGGCTGTTCCTGATTGCTCTTCTTGTGAAAAGATGCACAACATTGACTAGGGGGCCACAACTTAGGCCACAATGCCTTTCACACATTTCATGAAGTTCTGGCACACAAACAAAGTTTCACCTTTTACTCAAATGTCACCTTTTTTTTAGGAACCAACCAATCAGAAACAAACAACTAAAACCCAGGGCGCTTCCAGACAGCCCTTTAATCCAATAACATTCACATTTTAAAAACGCTAATGTTCCTCAATCCTAATCTACACACATCCCAGAAAGTGTGTGCTTTCTAGTGTGGGTGTCCAGGTGTACTCCTGGAACTTTCTGGGAGATCACCCAGACGCTCTAACCCCCTCACCAAAAGCCCTTAAAAGCCCTTTAAAAAAT